TGCGCGGCAGAGCGAGACTCCGTCTCAAAAAAAAAAAGAGAAAAAACGGTTGACGGCTGGCATTCTCAGAACTGCTTCTGCAGTTCAGTGTGTTCCCATTTATTTATTGAAATGTGTAAAGAAATGTGTTTCTGACGCTTCCATGGGGCAGCCGGAGGGTCATCCCGGAGGCTGCTTCGCGTGGCACCCGCTAATCCGCCCAGGTGCAGCTTGAGTGTGCGGCCCTGTGGGGTCAGTGGCGTTTCTGTCCTCCTCTTCCGTCAGAAGCCGCCCCGTTCTGGTCAGTGGCGTTTCTGTCTCTCTTTCGTCAAGAACCGGCCCTTGTGGGCGTCAGCGACATGTCTGTGCTCTCTTCCGTCAGAACCTGAGGTCTGTCTTGTGCTCAGAGTGGGTCTTTTGCTCATGGACATGATTTGGTTACCATCACATGGGGGTCGTTCGGAAATGTTGTTACATAGAGTTCTTTTTTTTTTCCTAAATGTTAACACATTCCATTATATAAAATTGAAGAAAATCATATTTTTTAATGTCACCACTGACCTCATCAGAAGAGAAAGTGAGAAACTGTCTAATTAGCAGTAGTAGATAAAAGTTTTCCAAAATTCTAATTTTCTGTTGAAAGCTTGGATTTTTATCATTGGTAACAAATACCGTCAGTTATTTTCTGTGAAATGAGAGGCTCACTGTGTTCATCTTCTTTTTTTTTTTTTTTTTTGAGACGGAGTCTCGCTGTGTCTCCCAGGCTGGAGTGCAGTGGCGCGATCTCGGCTCACTGCAAGCTCCGCCTCCCGGGTTCACGCCATTCTCCCGCCTCAGCCTCCCGAGTAGCTGAGACTACAGGCGCCCGCCACCACGCCCGGCTAGTTTTTTGTATTTTTAGTAGAGACGGGGTTTCACCGTGTTAGCCAAGATAGTCTCGATCTCCTGACCTCGTGATCCACCCGCCTCGGCCTCCCAAAGTGCTGGGATTACAGGCTTGAGCCACCGCGCCCGGCCTTCATTTTCAAGTAAATTTCTGCCATATACTAAACTCTTAATAAGCCAAAGTTGGTCAGTTTTTTCAAATAAAAATGGCATTCCATGAAAAAAAGGGCTAGTTCAGTTTGTGTGGTACTGTGGAATGTGTATTTGGTCTTCACTAGTACACACCTCCTAAAATCATTGGGCTCTTCAGTGGTGTCTTTTGGGAATGAGTTGGCTAAGGGCTGGCAACCCCTGGGTAACTTCACAACGGGGGCTGGTCAGGTCACCAGAAAGACTAGGCAGGATTAGAGGGTTGGGACTTTCAGCCCTGATCTCCAACCTTGGGGAGTGGTGAGGGGCGGGGAGCTGAAGGTTAAGCTGATCACCAGTGGCCAGTGATTTAAACAGTCTTGCCTATGTATGGGCTGGGTTTGAAGATAGCTTCCAGATGTTTCTGTAGGGGGACCCGCCCGAAGAGGGCATGGGAGCTCTGCATCTCAGCCCCATCCCTCGCCCTATGCATCGCCTCCGTTTGCATCGCCTCCATGTCCTTTGTGGTAGCCTTTATAATAAACCGCTAAATTAAAGTGTTTCCCTGAGATGTGTGTGCCCAGTCGGGGTTGTGGACACTCTGATTGATAGCGAGTCAGTCAGAAGCACAAGTAACACAACGTGAGGCTTGCCTTTGGCTTTCGAAGTGGGGGGCAGTCTCATGGGACAGAGCACTCAACCTCTGGGATCTGATGCTTTCTCCCAGCGTCAAGATCTAATGGAATCAGGGGACCCCGGCCGGTGTCCGGCTGCAGAATCGATTGCTTCCTTGCTGATGGGAGAGGTCCCCACACATCCGGTGTCTTAAGTATGCTATGAGGATGTGATGGGAGAAACTCAATTTTGTGTTTTATTTTTCAACACAGACAACTACTGTGTGCTTTTTCTTGGGACAGTTGTACTTGGGGATGCAGCAAAAGTTCTTTTGTGGCACATTTTATCACAGGGTTGGAATTACATAAAGTGGAGAATTATTTTAACTGTTCATCAGGGAATAAGCTAAGCAAAACTGGCCTTTTTCCTTTTTCTTTCCCTTTTTCCCTGCTTGTGTAGGGTGTGGAAAGGAGAGCTTGGGGCTGCTGCCACAGATCGTGCTGAGCCGCCAGCAGCTCCACCTGCCCTTGGCTTTGCTCACCCGTGGAAATGACAACAGCATGAAAACGGCAGATGACGTACAAGGATTATGATGAAAATAGTCTCGACCTCATGGACCCTCTGAGAGGTTCTTGAGGACCGTTGCATCCTCAGGGGCCCACAGACCACCCTTTGAGAACTGCTGCTTGAATGCCAGCCGTTAGCAGTAGGAGTGAAGGACAGGGCAGACCTCAGGGTTCACTGTCCTCTCTCCTCTTTACCAGACTGTACTGGTTTTGTCTCACAATACAAAAATAGAGTGTTTATTATTTAAAGAAAATCAAATGATAGAACAGCTGAGAACAGCTGGATCAAGAGCACAGAGCGCAAGTTCCTCTTCATCCCACTGCTGTCCTGGAGCCTTCCTCAGAACCCACTGCTCTTAACTGTATCTTTGTAGATCATTTTCTATGTGTTTATGTGTTTGTTTATATTTTAAAACCTAGTTTGTGTATCGGCAATCTTTTTTAATCCACAAATGTGGAACGTTTTTGTAGACGTTGAATAAGATTTTCTGTATTACTCAATATTGTTTTTTGCTATTTCTTTTCCTTTCCTTTCCTTTTTTGGAAATAAGGTCTTACTTCTCTGCCACCCAGGCTGGAGTGCAGTGGTACAATCAGAGCTCACTGCAGCCTGATCAGGCTCAAGCAGTCCTTTCCCTACTTAGCCTCCCGAGTAGCTGGAACTATATTGTGCACTGCCATGCCCAGCTTTTTTCTATTTCTTTGTAGAGACAGGGTTTTGCTCTGTTGCCCAGGATGGTCTTGAACTGCTGGACTCAAGTGATCCTCCCACCTCGGCCTCCCAAAATGCTGGGAATACAGGCATGAGCCATGGCATGCAGCCGCCACTTGCCTTTTTTCATTAAGAGTCTATAATTGGAGATCTTACAGTGAACCGGGCTTTCTGCTCAGCCATACTCGAGCTCATTTGACCCCCGGCCGCAGCCCCTTGAGATGTAAGTACTACTGTGTTGCCTTCATCATATACATGAGATGATGGAGTATCAGGAGGATGAAGTTACTTGGTGAAGGTCTCAGAGTTAATCGGTGCTATACCCATTATTTGCACGCAGACGTTCTGAGTCCAGAGCCCATACTTAAATTTTCAACCAGGCTGCCTTTTTATGTGGCTCATTTCATCCTTTTTGATGTCTGCATAGTATTCCCTTACTTATTTAGTCCAGTGTTTCTAATGACAGTGCAGGAGAGTCTCATCCTTCTGCCCTTCCTGGGTGGCAGACGCCCAGGAGTGGGGATGCGCTGTCAGAGGCCATGCACATTCCTTGACTGTTTCTGTTCTGTGAATTGCTTTGGTCACATCTTTTGTCCATTTTTCTACTGAACTTAAAAAAGTCAGTCTGTAAAAGTGGGTTGGTTTGTTTGTTTGTTTGTGATGGGATCTCGCTTCGTCCGCCGGGCTGGAGTGCAGTGGTGCGATCTTGGCTCACTGCAACCTCCGCCTCCCAGGTTCAAACAGTTCTCCTGCCTCAGCCTCGTGAGGCGTGATTACAGGCATGCCACCATGCCTGGCCAATTTTTTTTTTTTTAATTTTTAGTAGAGATGGGGTTTCACCATGTTGGCCGGGCTGGTATCGAACTCCTATGCTCAAGTGATCCGCCCACTTCGGCCTCCCAAAGTGCTGGGATTACAGTTGTGAGCCACCGCACCCAGCTTGTAGAAGTTCTTTATATGTTATGAATATTAGTATTCTGAGTTTTTAAAAATTATTGACCTTGACTTTTAATTCTTCTGCCCCCATTCCACACTCTCCTCTCCAAGTGCAGTTGAATTTATTATACATGTGTCTTTGACTAGGTTTTTTTATTGCTGTTGCTACTCTGGAAATGAAGAAAAAGAGCTGAGATCCATGTTTGAGTCAGTAGTGGGATGGAAGAGGAGTAATGAGTGGGACAAAAGGCGATTGGTGAATTAAACTTAAATACATCATGCGAGGCTTAATGATGGGGGTGGATATTTTCTGAGCAATGCGTCGTTAGGCCATTTTGCCATGCGAGCGTCTGAGAGTACACTTACCAAGCCCAGGTGGTAGGGCTCACTCTGTTACAGGCCTCCATTATTATCTCATGGGACTGCCATGGCAGATGTGGACTGTCAGGAGTTCAGAGCTCAGAGGCAGGGGCAACCACGAAAACAGGCAATCCTGGAGTAGTCACAGAAGTCTTGCTAATGATGTTAGATACCTGAGAGCATGAAACATACTTGAGCTTATTTTATCTGGATCTCCAGAGATGATAAAACCACAACTAAAATAGGAATGCAGCCGTGTGAAGACACAGGCTGTGCTGATCTTTTCTGCATTGTGCACAGCACCCGGCACTGCACCGGCACACAGGAAGTGCTTTTAGGAGTGCTTGGGTGAGTCACCACACCTGCCCGAAAGAGGCAGTCAGTTCTCTGATAATTAGCAACATTTGAGTGAAAAAAACAATAGGGCTGCATGTTTAACCACATCTAATGGCTGATTTGTTTTAAGTGGGTGTTGAGTAAAAGAGTTAACATAAATCATCATAGCAGTGGCATTAATGAGCGAAGATACGACCGGCCTCACACCTGTAATCCCAGCACTTTGGGAGGCCAAGGCAGGAGGATCCCTTGAGCCCAGTAGGTTAAGGCTGCTGTGAGCTGTGATCACGCCACTGCATTCCAGCCTGGGAACAGAGTAGACCCTGTCTCAAATAAAATAAGCAAAGACATTCTAATTAAAGCAACAGTAATGTTCCATTTTTCCTAGTCATTTCTGGAAAGCGTGTATACTCATTTTTTGGAGGGTAATTTGACATTTCTCTCTCAAACTTAACACAAGGGTTAGGACCCCAAGGTTCCACTTGTAGGAATCCTACAGGAAATAGGCCAGCATTTCCGAAAGATGTGCACTGCAGCAATACAATGTTGAAAACGCTAAATGCCTCAAAGTAGTGAGGCGGTTAAATGTGTTAGAACACACATTTTGTGGAGTGAGAGTATTCTGTGCCCCTCGGAGAGCGGTCTGTGTTGGGTGAAAAACAGCAGCTTTTGCAGAAGAACAGTGACCCCATCCGAAGCTGAGTGTGGTCGTAAATGCTGCTCTGGAAAGCAGATATCCAGGGGCAACATCAGGGTGCCTGGGGGAAGGAGGGGGTCACGTCTGCACTGAACAGAGACTTTGGCTTTTGTTCTGCACATTTCTGTATCATTTTATGTTCCACACTAAGAATGCATTGTTTCGTAGATATAAGGAGAAAAGTGCCCTTAAGAAAAGGTAAAGAGGGAGTTCTAGCAACTCGAAGGAGGAAGGTTTTTCCGTCCGTGCACCTCTAATAATGACTCAGCACTGCTTATCACCCCACCTTCTGTTCTCCGGTTTTCTGGAATTTTAACTGTTTTAGGCTGCCATTTTGTCGTGTTTGAAAATACCTTAAACTTTTTTTTTTTTTTTTCGTTTCAATAGTTCTGTTCCAGAATCTAGAATGGCAAAGTAGTATCCCTGAAAGTGTATTCATTCCAAAACTCTAGTACATAACTAGATTTAAAAGAAAGCAAAACAAAAACTTCTCAGCTATAGTAATGATTGAAAAGGGGGGAGTCGTACCTTACATGTATCAGTGCATTTGTAAAAGTTCCTGACTTTCGGCCGGGCGCGGTGGCTCAAGCCTGTAATCCCAGCACTTTGGGAGGCCGAGACGGGCGGATCACGAGGTCAGGAGATCGAGACCATCCTGGCTAACACGGTGAAACCCCGTCTCTACTAAAAATTACAAAAAACTAGCCGGGCGAGGTGGCGGGCGCCTGTAGTCCCAGCTACTCGGGAGGCTGAGGCAGGAGAATGGCGTGAACCCGGGAGGCGGAGCTTGCAGTGAGCCTGGGCGACAGAGCAAGACTCCGTCTCAAAAAAAAAAAAAAAAAGTTCCTGACTTTCGTAGGCCTTGAAGGCGGCGTCTCAGCTTTGTTTCTGTCCTTTGCAGTAACCTGTGTACGGGAGGCTCCATTGTTTGCCACCTCACATTTGGATAGACATATAGGTTGCTTTTAGAATAAATAATTATATATTATTAGCACAATATATAATATAAATAAACACCCCCGTACTCCACACCTAACAACGGTCCATTGTTTTGGGTTTTTGAAGACGTGAAGGCTACGGTCACATCGAGGGTCTCCGTCTCCGTTTTAACTCCCCAACTCCGTTGCCCGCACTCCTTCCTCGCTGGAGGCAGTGTCTGTGAAATAGGTTCATAGCCTGTCCCTGCTCTTGAGTGTTTATCCGAATAGATCCATGGGTTGCCTTTTATTTTTTTTTTTTTTTTTTTTTTTGAGACGGAGTCTCGCCCTGTTGCCCAGGCTGGAGTACAGTGGCCGGATCTCAGCTCACTGCAAGCTCTGCCTCCCGGGTTCACGCCATTCTCTTGCCTCAGCCTCCCGAGTAGCTGGGACTACAGGCGCCCGCCACCTCGCCCGGCTAGTTTTTTGTATTTTTTTTAGTAGAGATGGGGTTTCACCGTGTTAGCCAGGATGGTCTCGATCTCCTGACCTCGTGATCCGCCCATCTCGGCCTCCCAAAGTGCTGGGATTACAGGCTTGAGCCACCGCGCCCGGCCTTTTAAAAGCATTTTTATCAGACAGGGGCCGATGGTGGATTGCAGCTCCGCCGCAGCCGTGCTTCTCCGGCTCCCTGCAATTTTGTCAGACGCTAGAGATCTAGTTGAATGTCACAGGTCACATTTAGTAGATTTTGACTTCGTTTATGGTAACAGATAGATGTATCAGTAAGTTGTTAAAGGCGTCTGAAATATCAGATAATCCTTGAAGTAGTATTAACCAAAATTATTAATCTCCTCTGCCATAGAGCCCCGGTTAAGTTCAGGTGTGTAATAGTGATCTTGACTTAAAATGGAGAGAATGAGAAAGTTTTTACTTTAACCGTTCTCAGTTTACTTACTGTTCATTAAAGAATTCAGTAGTAGAAGACGTAATCTATTTGGATTATGAAGGTATCAGCATAGGGCTTTCTGCTGGGTTATTTAAAAAGTAGATGGAACTTCTCTCTGGCCATGCGCGCTGGTGACCTCCGTGTTCCCCGCAGGACAGACTGTGGTGGAGGCGCACACCGCCACCCAGAGGTGGGCTCTGTGGAGTTCGCATCTGTATCTCAGCAACTTAGGGTGGTTTGGGCCGTGTTTCACTTGACCTACAGAGAGAAACCGGACACCCAGGTTGGCATAGATTGGGATTTTTTTTTTTTTTTTTTGAGGTCTAGGAATTTTTTTTTTATTGTGATAAAATATACATGGCGTAATATTTATCATTTTAGCCGTTTTTAAGTGTACAGTTCAGTGGTGTTAAATGCGCTTGCAGCGTTGTGTAGCTGTCACCACTACCTGTTCCCAAAACAGCTTCATCATTACCAGCACAACTTTGTCCTATTAAACAGTAACTCCCTTTCTTGCCTTCCCCAGCCCCTGGCAACCACCATTCTACTTTCTGTCTCTGGATTTGCCCAGTCTAGGGGCCTCATGCAGATGGAATTGACATAGTGTTTGTCCACTTGCATCTGGCTGACTTCACATGATGTTTCCAAGGCTTGGCCATGTTGTGGCGTATGCCAGAATTTCATTCCTTTTTGTGGCAGAATTAGATGTGGAGTTTTTCAAGTAGGAGGTTTGTTTCTAACCTACTTTTGTTTATTTTAAAAATTATTGCTGTGCATGGTGTCTCAGGCCTGTAATCCCAGCACTTTGGGAGGCTGAGGTGGGTGGATCACCCGAGCTCAGGAGTTCGAGACCAGCCTGGCCAACATGGTGAAACCCCATTGCTACTAAAAATACAAAAATTAGCTGGGCGTAGTGGTGCATACCTGTAGTCTCCGCTACTCAGGAGGCTGAGGCAGGAGAATCGCTTGAACCCGGGAGGCAGGGGAGGTTGCAGTGTGCCAAGATCCACGCCACTGTACTCCAGCCTGGGCAACATAGCGAGACCCTGTCTTCACAAAAAATAAAACAGGAATCTCAGGGTTGTGTGTGTTTCTCATAAATGCTAATAGAAGACGAATTTCAGGGACAGGTTATTGGGAGAGAACATGAGCAGCTTGTTTTGCTGGTATGACGGGCTAGGTTCATTTCCTAAAGTGTGAGATGTGCTTTTCCCCTTTCGATACCAGTTCTCAGAGTGATGATCTTTTCTGTAGAGGCAAGGGAAATACTCATCACTACCTTCTTGCTAGTTTGACTCTGAAACACTTAAAGATAGTAGTATTTGTTGTTGCATGTCTAGATCTGCCACAGGAGATGCCAGAGGGGCTTTGCTGACGTTCAGGGAGTGACCGGGGGGTACCACAGCCTCACTTTGCGGGTGCGGTTTGAGAAGGCACCATGAGTAAAGGTGCTGCCCCACAGCGCACAGGGGTCCTAAGGCTTCGGCAGTTAAGTAATTACCTGTTGCCATTAGACGAGGGCTCTAGGAGTCAAAAGGCTTCCCTGAACAAGGAACGCTTGAGCTCAGGTGTGAATGAGGGATGGGCCTGGACAGGGATGAGGGATGGAAGGAGCCTGCACACGGGAGAGAGGGTGGGAGGACTTGACACAGGAGAGAAGAACAGGCTGGGCGATGGGGTGTGAAAGCGAAGAGGGAGTCAGATGAGGATTTCGGTCTTTCCTGAGGGCAGTGAAGATTCAAAACCGCATGGTCAGATTGGAGTTTAAAAAATAGAACTCAGCAGCTGCAGTGTGCGGAGGTGGGCTGGAACCGGTTTTGCTCAGTCGGGGAGAGTGTATTTTTAATTTTCCAAAGTGACTATGCTGGTGATCGTGTCAGAGCCCCTGGCCTGTTGTTGGTTATAAAGTGCTTTGATTTGCCTGTAAATCAGAGTCTACCGTGGCTCACACAGTTCTTATTTGCAAAAAGAACTTATAAGCATGAAATTGAGCATAAAATTGCCTAGTAGTAATTCAAGTTGCTTAATATGTTTGAGAGAAAGGTTAATAAATTCAGTCAGACAGCCTTTTGGATAAAGATGTTCTCATTTTTCAGCATGGCATGGGGGAAATAGCATGGAATATTCTTAGTAAATCAGATTTTCCTTGAAAAGAGTGGTCCTACCTCTCATAGGCTTCAATGGCAGTGGTTTAATATGGTTCCCAAATTCTGAAGTCTTCTGAAATTTGTTAGACAAGACAAGACTTATGATAACAGAGTGATGCAAACACTGATTTTCCAGTGAAACATGATAAAAGATTGACGGTTTCTCTCTGATGTCATTTACTTATGTATATGCTTCTGAGAAGTCAAGTAACGGTATTTACAGTAACTATTGTTAATGCTGATGTATTCTTGAAAAATAAAAAGAGTGGATGTTAAGTACTCCTCATCACAAAAATGAGTTGTGTGTCAACTTTTTCTTAAAAAAAAAATTGGAAAGTAGCCAAAAAGAAAACAAAATCCCTTTAGGTTTAAACAGGAAAATGAATTTAGTAATTTGTGGAAAACAAATTTATAGCAGATTTTTGTTTGTTGGTTATTTTTAAAACTTGTAATAATTTAGTCTACTTTTAGAGTGTATTTGAGAATGTTCGCAAGTTGTGAGGCCCTTTTAGTGACTTGATCCATGGGGTAGTTTTATTTAAAACAGCTTTTGAGCTGTAATTCATCGAGCGCAGAGCTCATCCTTTGTGAAGTGTGCGGGTGAATATTCAGAGTTGTATGGCCAGCTGCACTATCCAGTTCTAGAACCTTCCTCCGTCACCCCCAAAAGAAACCCACTAGCAGTCCCTCCCATTCCCTCCCTGCTCCGCCCTCTGGTAACCACTGATTACTTTGTTTCTGTGGATTTGCCTGTTCTCCACATGTCATATACGTGGAGTCATGGCCTTCTGTGCCGGCCGCTTCCCACCAGCGTGATGCCGTCGAGGTGTATCCTGCAGCATGCATCAGTCCTCCCTCCTTTCCTGGACAAACTGTTTTCTATTTTTGTTTATCCATTAATCAGTTGATGGGTTCTTCCTACTTTTTGGCTCTTACAAATGCACCTATGAACATTCTTGTACATGTTTTTGTTTAGACATGTCTTTTCTGTGCTCTTGGGTCTATAGAATGAAGCTTGGTCATATGGCAACTGTGTTTAATGTTTTTGAGGAACTACCAAACTGTTTTCCAAAGTGACTGCAACGTTTTATAATCCCGCCGTCAGTGTTTGAACAGTTTTTCTTCACATCTTCACCTACGCTTGTTATTGTCTAATTTTAGCCATCCTAATAGTTGTGAACTGGTATCTGGTGTTTTTGATTTGTATTTCCCTGGTGATTAATGATGTTGAGCATTTCCTGTGCTTATTTGGACATTTTTATATATTTTTTTTGAAAAATTACATTTTCGCCGGGCGCGGTGGCTCAAGCCTGTAATCCCAGCACTTTGGGAGGCCGAGACGGGCGGATCACGAGGTCAGGAGATCGAGACCATCCTGGCTAACACGGTGAAACCCCGTCTCTACTAAAAATACCAAAAAAAAAAAAAAAAAAAAACTTTTTAAAAATTTTTGGTAGAGATTGGGTCTTGCTATGTTGCCCAGGCTGGTCTTGAATTCCTGGGATTACAGGTGTTAGCCACCATGCCCAGACCAGTCTTTTTATTGTTGTAAGAGTTCTTCAGGTATTCTGGATACAAGTCCCTTATCAGATACACAATTTGCAAACAACTTCTCCCATTCCATTAGTTGTGTTTTCAGTCTCTTCATGGTGTCCTTAGATGCACAAGAATTTTTAATTTTGTTGATGTCCACTTTATTTTTTTATTTCAAAAGTTTGTGCTTTTGGTATTATATGTAAGAGACCACTGTCTAATCCAAGATTGTGAAGATTTATTCCTTTAGCTCTTACATTTAAGTCTTTGATCCATATTTATATATAATTACATATATGTAATTTATGTGCAATGAATTATAATGATATTTATATGTAATTTTTATATGTGGTGTAAATGAGGGTTCAGCTTTTTTCTTTTGCATGTGGATATTTAGATGTCCTGGCATCATTATTAAAATAGTATTCTTTTCCCATTAATTGTCCTGGTACACTTGTTGAAAATCAGTTGACCATAAATGTCCTTCTAGACTATGACCTCTTATCCATTGGTGTGTATATGTCTGTCCTCATGCCAATACCATACTGTCTTGGTTACTATAGCTTTATGGTGAGTTTTGAAATCAGGAGATGTCAGTCTTCCACCTCTGCTCTTTTTAAAGATCGTTTTGGCTATTCTGGATCCCTTGCACTTCCATATGATTCTAGAATTAGTTTGGCGATTTTTGTTTTAAAAAAAAAAAAAAAGGCAGCTGGGATTTTGACAGGGTTAATACCTTGACTGTTGTAGAACAGTGGAGATATTTTCTTAAGTTTTCCAGTCGTGACACAGGATAACTTTCCTTATATTCAGGTCTTCAATTTTTTTCTACAATATTTTGCAATTTTCAGTGTACAAATCTTGTCATTCTTTGATTAAATTTATTCCTAAGTATTTATTCTTTTTGATGATATTGTAAACAGAGTTGTTCTCTTGCTTTTGTTTCTGAATTTTTCATTGCTAAATGTAGAAATGCAGTTAACTTTATTGGCCTTGCATCCTGTGTCCTTGCTGAACCTGTTTATTAGCTCTGATGGGTTTTGTGTTTGTGGATTCCTTAGGATTTCCTATATGCAATATAATGCTGGCTGTGAATAGAGATATGTTATTCCTTTTTAATCTGGATGCCTTTTATTTCTTTTCTTTGCCTAATTGCCCCAGCTAGAATTTCCAGTAGAATGTTTACTAGAAGTTAACAAATCAAACATCCTTGTTTTGTTCCTGCTCTCAAGGGAAAAGCATTCAGACTCATCATTAAGTGTGATGTTAGCTGTGGTTTTGTAGGTACTCTTTGTCAAGTTGAGGAAGTTGCATTTTATTCTTAGTTGGTTGAGTGTTTTTATCATGGAAAGATGTTGGATTTGTTAAATGCTTTATCTTCATTTATTGAGATGACCTCTGTGGTCTTTGTCCTTTAATTTTGTTAGTATGATGTATTACGTTGATTTGTTTTTGTATGTTAAACCAACCTTGCATTCCTAGGATATGGTATACTTCTCATATTTCAAAAATACTGTTTGTTCCTGTAGCAGAGAAATTAAGTTTCAGTTGTTCTTTCTGACTTCTGCATTTTAGAATAATTTGCCACAAACTTTTTTTTTTTAGTGCCTAAGTGACTAGAAAGTAATATGCAGAATTTTCTGCTTTGTCACATTTTATCCAGTCTAGTCATAATGATGCAGGATTTTTTTTTTTTTTTTGGTCAGCTAAATTCAGGTTCTTGCCTTGCAACCAGGAGAAATCAGGCATGCGGACACATTGAAGGGTGAGGAGGGCAGAATTTATTAAGCAAAGGAAAGCTCTCAGAAAAGAGAGGGGTTCTCCAGGCAGGTTTTCCCCTCATAAATTGAATACCAGGCCACCACACAGAGGTTGAAGAGGCCAGGCCCGTCCCCAGCATAAGGTGAGTATTCCTGGTGGCTCCGCCCCGTTCTTCAGTGCACACAGGCCCTTAGTCTGAGCCCCTCCACATTGATTTATTTCCCTTACTGGGCATGTGTTAAGGGGCAGGATTTTTCAATGTGGGTTGTTGAGGTGACTTCCCCCACCCCATGCACAATGACCTGGGCGGGACAGAGAGTCTCCCAGGACCTTTCCCTACTTGCCTACGTATTGCGTTTGGCTGTCCCCTGCCTCTGTCAGTAATTTGGATAAACTCAATTTTGGATGCTTTTAGATTATAGTGTCTCTAGAATCTTACTGGGTCTCGGACATAAATAGTTTTCCAATTTTTTTAATATATGGTAGAGGCTTATAATTCACTTCTATTTAGTTTCTGTCTGGTTTTTGAACAGAATGGACTTTTTGCCTTTAGGTGAGTTTCTTTGAAAAGACACAGAAACGTGTATATGTGTGTATCTGTGTCTGCTTGTAGAAAATGTCTTACTTCCAGCTGAGTGCAGTGGCTCATGCCTGTAATTCAGTACTGTGGGAGGCTGAGGCAGGAGGATCACTTGAGCCCAGGAGTTTGTGACCAGCCTGGACAACATAGTGAGACCCTGGCTCTACAAAACATTAGAAGAGGTAGACTATTTCCCACTTTCCTTGTCTGTCAGTTTGTCATATCCAGAGTGCCCTGTGTTAAGCTCACCGCCTGGCAGCCTCAGTAAACTGTGCATCCTTGGAGAGCAGCTCTACTCCTCTTTCTGCACACGTACTAAATTCTTAAGAAGGTTTATGTGAAAGAGTTGTGATTTCCGAAAACCTTCTGGCTGGATGTGTGTTTTGACTGTTGTGTGTGCACCCAGCTCTGTCAGGTGCCGCAGAGCAGGAAACAAATGGCCTCGCCCAGCAGCTTGTCTCTACCCAGCGTGTAGAGGAGAGAAGTGATTGGGTGGGTAACGGTAGGAAACGAACGGGTTGCCAGAGAAGGGGTGTGTTGAAATGGGTGAAGTTGGTGAGTCAGGGAAGCAGAGCGCTCCCTACCGCGAGTTCACAAAGGACTGGGAGGAGAGGAGAGGGTGTGGTGACCACAAGTCCAGAGAGCTGCGCGGCTTGTGTCATCCCGCTCCAGGTGGTCTCTGCTGGAAGCAGTGGCTTCTTCCATTGCAGGGGCTGTCTTTGGCAGGGAGATTATGGCTGTTCTCTTTTGGGTTCTTCTGTTTTTCATGAAAAATTAATAGGAAGTGGGCAGAGTGAGTGGCTGGGGCGCTGGAAGTTTGAGGGGAGAGGAAAGGTGTGAGACAGTCATTTTGAGGAGGGAGGAGCCGTGGTCTGGGAGCATCAAATGGAGGAAGGAGAAACTCTCCCCAGGGAGTCGGGTGTGAGAGAACAGAGACCCCCGTGGAGAGGGCCTGGGGGAAGCTGCTGTCAGGGATTGCACGTTTCAGACCAAGAGGATGAAGGGAGCCTTCAGAGAGGGCGGGTGCGTGGGTCAGAGGGGTGTGCGGGTCGGAGTGCGGGAGACACAGAGCTCGGAGGCGGTGAGAGTCCGAGTGAAGATGGACAGCTGCTTGTGCCTGAAGTCCGTGGGATGTTTGCTGCAGTATGGGATACCTGCAGAAGGCACCGATCCCAGGCATGCAGTACTGACTGTCGCCCAGCAAAGACCCCCAGTAAATACCCAGCCGCACCAGGAGCACATTGCCAGGACTCCAGGCCCTCCCTCCCTCCCTCCGGGGCAGCTCCTGCCCCAGCTGGCATCGCGCATTGGACACCCGTTCTTGAACGTGGTATAAATAGAATTGCACCCTAAGTCCTCTGCAGTGTTCAGCTTTCTGTAAGTAACCTGTGGTGTTAGGTGGTGGTCATTTGATTATTTTCACTGCTGCGTGGTGTTCCGTCGTATGAATATGCCACAGTTTATGCATCTTTTCTACTGTTGACGGACATTCGAGTTGATTCTTTTGTGAAGATTCTCGTAAGTGGTTCAGTGATGCACATGTGTAATTCTGGTGGCTGTGTGTCTGGAGTGGGTCACCGGATATGCATGTTTCGCCTTGGTGGATATTGCCCGATGGTTTTCAGAGTTGCTGTACCCGTTTGCTCCAGGAGCGGTCTGCGAGAGCTGCCATGGATATCTTTAAAGGTCAGTCTCATTTCAGCCGGTGTGTGAGAGTGTGACATTGCAGTGCGGCTTGTACTCGCCCTTCCCTGATGGCTGGGGATGGTGGACACCAGTTCCTCTGCCCCCGGAGGGAGGGAGAGAGGGAGGGTGGGCAGGCCTGGCATCCTGGCAATGTGCTTCTGGTGTGGCTGGGTATTTACTGGGGGTCCGATTTGCTGGTGCCTCCAGTAGGGCACTGGTTTTCCTTATAACCACCTCTTGGGCTGCTAGGCCACCTCAGTTCCTGGTGGCCAGGTGGAGACCATCGGGAAGGGGCCGTGGTCTTGTGAGGAGTACCTGGTCTGTGGTTATGTGCCAGGAAGTGTGTTTAAATGACCACTCCAGAACTAGCCGAAGAGGGGAAGCAGAAACGGACCTGCGGGAAACTTTCATGTTGTGTCTGTCATGGATCCCTTTTGTCTTGACAGTGACTCAGTAATTTTAGGTGATGCGTTTTTGTTTTTGTTTTTGTTTTTGTTTGTTTTTTTTTTGAGACGGAGTCTCGCTCTGCCGCCCAGGCTGGAGTGCAGTGGCCGGATCTCAGCTCACTGCAAGCTCCGCCTCCCGGGTTCACGCCATTCTCCTGCCTCAGCCTCCGGAGTAGCTGGGACTACAGGCGCCCGCCACCTCGCCCGGCTAGTTTTTTGTATTTTTTAGTAGAGACGGGGTTTCACCGTGTCAGCCAGGATGGTCTCGATCTCCTGACCTCGTGATCCGCCCGTCTCGGCCTCCCAAAGTGCTGGGATTACAGGCTTGAGCCACCGTGCCCGGCCGAGGTGATGCGTTTTAAGGACTGTACCTTTTCTGGTAATAGACTGATTGTGGTATTTGGGTATTGATGGGTGTTTTCAGGCTGGTAATGTTATCTTTATGCTTTTTCATGAGCTTCCTCCTGCTGCTTTCTGGACATTGGGCTCTGAGGCTCAGGAGAGGAAATGGAGGAACCCCTTGAAGGCCGCAGCAACCCTCCAGCAGAGGTGGTGGGTGCCGTGGGCGGAGGCTGGCGGAAGTGAAGATCCAGAGAAGTGCAGAAGTGAAATAGTCACATTTTTATGTTGTTTTGAAAAACCTAGTGAGTTTTCAAAAACTATGAGGAAAAGTCTCAGGACAGGAGCCATGCAGCCAGCAGGCTTCCAAATGGCCGTCCAGGCAGGGGAGACGGGCCAGGAGACATTGTCTCTGGGGACAAGAAGATCTGAGAGCTGATCTGATGCATTCATATTTGACAGACCAGTTAAAGGAAGTAGTTAGAAATGGTGTACATATAAAAGAAAAGTAGAAGAATAATAAACAGGCGCCTCTGTCCTCAACCCCAGAAGTCACCCTGGAGTTGTTTGTCTGCCTTCGTTGTGTTTCTCTCCAGATGCAGTTTCTGGATCTCCTGAAGGCTGATGGCCCCAGACAGTCTTGTCATTGCCCCCTGCACTGCCTTGGAAATCTTGGTTTCAGGCACCCCCTTGGATTCCTGTCTCCTGTGCTTCCAGCAGAGTGACCCTGCTCCCCACAGTGGAGAGGGCCTGGGGGAAGCTGCTGTCAGGGATTGCACGTTTCAGACCAAGAGGATGAAGGGAGCCTTCACAGAGGGCGGGTGCGTGGGTCAGAGGGGTGTGCGGGTCGGAGTGCGGGAGACACAGAGCTCGGAGGCGGTGAGAGTCCGAGTGAAGATGGACAGCTGCTTGTGCCTGAAGTCCGTGGGATGTTTGCTGCAGTATGGGATACCTGCAGAAGGCACCGATCCCAGGCATGCAGTACTGACTGTCGCCCAGCAAAGACCCCCAGTAAATACCCAGCCGCACCAGGAGCACATTGCCAGGACTCCAGGCCCTCCCTCCCTCCCTCCGGGGCAGCTCCTGCCCCAGCTGGCATCGCGCATTGGACACCCGTTCTTGAACGTGGTATAAATAGAATTGCACCCTAAGTCCTCTGCAGTGTTCAGCTTTCTGTAAGTAACCTGTGGTGTTAGGTGGTGGTCATTTGATTATTTTCACTGCTGCGTGGTGTTCCGTCGTATGAATATGCCACAGTTTATGCATCTTTTCTACTGTTGACGGACATTCGAGTTGATTCTTTTGTGAAGATTCTCGTAAGTGGTTCAGTGATGCACATGTGTAATTCTGGTGGCTGTGTGTCTGGAGTGGGTCACCGGATATGCATGTTTCGCCTTGGTGGATATTGCCCGATGGTTTTCAGAGTTGCTGTACCCGTTTGCTCCAGGAGCGGTCTGCGAGAGCTGCCATGGATATCTTTAAAGGTCAGTCTCATTTCAGCCGGTGTGTGAGAGTGTGACATTGCAGTGCGGCTTGTACTCGCCCTTCCCTGATGGCTGGGGATGGTGGACACCAGTTCCTCTGCCCCCGGAGGGAGGGAGAGAGGGAGGGTGGGCAGGCCTGGCATCCTGGCAATGTGCTTCTGGTGTGGCTGGGTATTTACTGGGGGTCCGATTTGCTGGTGCCTCCAGTAGGGCACTGGTTTTCCTTATAACCACCTCTTGGGCTGCTAGGCCACCTCAGTTCCTGGTGGCCAGGTGGAGACCATCGGGAAGGGGCCGTGGTCTTGTGAGGAGTACCTGGTCTGTGGTTATGTGCCAGGAAGTGTGTTTAAATGACCACTCCAGAACTAGCCGAAGAGGGGAAGCAGAAACGGACCTGCGGGAAACTTTCATGTTGTGTCTGTCATGGATCCCTTTTGTCTTGACAGTGACTCAGTAATTTTAGGTGATGCGTTTTTGTTTTTGTTTTTGTTTTTGTTTGTTTTTTTTTTGAGACGGAGTCTCGCTCTGCCGCCCAGGCTGGAGTGCAGTGGCCGGATCTCAGCTCACTGCAAGCTCCGCCTCCCGGGTTCACGCCATTCTCCTGCCTCAGCCTCCGGAGTAGCTGGGACTACAGGCGCCCGCCACCTCGCCCGGCTAGTTTTTTGTATTTTTTAGTAGAGACGGGGTTTCACCGTGTCAGCCAGGATGGTCTCGATCTCCTGACCTCGTGATCCGCCCGTCTCGGCCTCCCAAAGTGCTGGGATTACAGGCTTGAGCCACCGTGCCCGGCCGAGGTGATGCGTTTTAAGGACTGTACCTTTTCTGGTAATAGACTGATTGTGGTATTTGGGTATTGATGGGTGTTTTCAGGCTGGTAATGTTATCTTTATGCTTTTTCATGAGCTTCCTCCTGCTGCTTTCTGGACATTGGGCTCTGAGGCTCAGGAGAGGAAATGGAGGAACCCCTTGAAGGCCGCAGCAACCCTCCGGCAGAGGTGGTGGGTGCCGTGGGCGGAGGCTGGCGGAAGTGAAGATCCAGAGAAGTGCAGAAGTGAAATAGTCACATTTTTATGTTGTTTTGAAAAACCTAGTGAGTTTTCAAAAACTATGAGGAAAAGTCTCAGGACAGGAGCCATGCAGCCAGCAGGCTTCCAAATGGCCGTCCAGGCAGGGGAGACGGGCCAGGAGACATTGTCTCTGGGGACAAGAAGATCTGAGAGCTGATCTGATGCATTCATATTTGACAGACCAGTTAAAGGAAGTAGTTAGAAATGGTGTACATATAAAAGAAAAGTAGAAGAATAATAAACAGGCGCCTCTGTCCTCAACCCCAGAAGTCACCCTGGAGTTGTTTGTCTGCCTTCGTTGTGTTTCTCTCCAGATGCAGTTTCTGGATCTCCTGAAGGCTGATGGCCCCAGACAGTCTTGTCATTGCCCCCTGCACTGCCTTGGAAATCTTGGTTTCAGGCACCCCCTTGGATTCCTGTCTCCTGTGCTTCCAGCAGAGTGACCCTGCTCCCCACACCGGCTTCCTCCATGCCATTGTCTCCCCTGGGGCTCAGACTCGGGCGTCCCTGCCCTGCTCAGGCTCCCCCTCCTGATCCTCCGAGCCTCTGCCTCCTCCCAGCCACTGGGCAGGCTGGAAATGCCATCGTGGGAACGGTACCTGATGGTCTTGTGTTGCCCTTAGTGTTTCATTCACTAAAGCGTAAGCCGCGTGAATACGGACTTTGTTGTCTTGAGGCCACCCACACAGTGCTTGGTTTAGAACCACTCAGGTGTAGGATCAGCTTAAAAAGATAAGCTGCTGGCCTCAGGTCCGAAGTGGGCATGGATACTGTGAGGCAGGCCTGCATTTCTCAAGGCTCGTCACTCTTCTCTCTTCTGAGGGGACTTCCGCCGTAGGCTCCCCACATCACCCGTGTCCCCTCTCTTTCACTCCTAGCGGATGACCCTCCGTCATGCCTCATGGAAACAGTGCAGTCTGAGGGGCTGTGCTCTGTCCCCCACACCTGCCCTCTCCATTCTCACAGCAGCTCCTGGCTGTGCTCCGCACCTCCCTCCCTGCCACTGGCGGCCGACTCTCCCTGGGGCATGTGGTTGTGACTTCTAGGCCATCTTTTACAGATCCCACTGACTCCACTTCCCCTTCCCCATCCACAGCTCCTAGTCTGCTTCCTCATGGCACCCAAATGGCCTTTAAACCTGGGACCTCCTCGTCACTTGCCCTTCCTCTCCTGCCATGTGAGGCCACCCTGGTTCTGTCTCCTGTGCTGGGACTGCTCACTTTTCGTTCCGTGATTTCGAGCTGTAAGTGCCAACCTCCTATGTGGCAACTGATGATTCCGCTTTTCACTGATACTATCTTCAGCCCATCTGTACCCCCACTCCCCACATATAAAGAGGTTGAAAGAAATCTGTTGCAAGTTTTTGTTACATAGTATTTTGTTAACAGGTAAATATTGTGTATTATTGAACTATGCCTTTTCTTTTTCATACGAGTTTTCACTTTCCTAGAGCTAATGATTGCCTGATTTTCTCATATGCTTAGTTATCTGTGTCTTTAGTGCATTTATTTGTTTGTTTTTTGGTTTTGTTTGTTTTGTTAGCAAACACTTCAACAGGTCTATCAAATACCAACACATCAGATCAGCTCTCAGCTCCTCTTGTCCCCAGACCAGTCTTCTGCGCCTGGACGGCCACTCTGAGGCCTGCTGGCCGCCTGGCTCGTGTCCTGAGATTCTCCTCACCATTTTTTGGAAGTCAGATCCCTGATCTTTCTCTTGGCTTTTTCTCTCGTTTTGCCAAATTGCCTCTCACAGCAGTTTCCTGAGAACACGTTTGTTTGTTTTTTTGGCTCTTTGCGTATTCAAAAACATTTTTATTCCTCCTTCAGATTTGATTGAAAACTTGACTAGGTCTAGCATTTTGGGTTGAAAATTGGCTTCTCCCAGAATTTTGAGGGTGGCAACCACCCATGTTTCCTGCAACCCGTGTGATGCCATCTGACTCCCTCTCTGTATGTGACCTGTTCATTTGCTTTGGAAATTTTTAGAATCTCCTATTTGTCCCTGGTATTGAGATGTGCACAGCCTGGGTCTGCTGTCAGCCATGCGGGGCTTCTGAGCCTGGGAACGGGGCCTTGGATGCTTCTCCCTTGCTTTGTCTGTTGTGTTTCTAGAACTCATCAGCTGGGAGGTGGGCCACCGAAACGGATCCTCTGGTTGTCTTATCCTTCATGTTGTCCATCTCTTTTCTTTCTGCTCTACCCTTTGGAGGAGATCTGAAGGTTTTTGTTATTACTGTTGCCCTTTGGATTTCACATGGCACTTTTTCCTCCTATTTCCTTCTCAAGCATATTCTTCCCTTCCTGGGGGACCCGCTGGATGTCCTGGCTGAGACCAGCCCAGGTGTTCTCCCCCACTCACCAGCAGGGGTTTGTCACCTCGGGCGCAGGGTCCGGCATCCAGCATCCCTCTCCTCTCTGTCAGGCGGGGTTGATGATAGCCCTGCTTCCTGGGGCTCCTAGAAGGCCTGATTAGGTTAGTGCAGGGCTCGCGTGTGGTTAGAATAGCACCTGGCTCCTAGTAAGCACTCAGCCAAGCACTGGGACTGCAGCGTCTGGTGGTAGTTAACAGCTCCCCAGAACATGAATTGGGCTTTCCCGTCTCTCTTTGTTCAGATTCCATCCTTGTTTTTGTTTTTTGTTATCTTTTACTGAGATGGAATCTCGCTCTGTTGCCCAGGCTGCAGTACAGTGGTTAGAGATGGGGCTTTGCAATATTGGCCAGGCTGGTCTTGAACTCCTGACCTCAGGTAATCCACCCACCTCAGCCTCCCAGAGTGCTGGGATTACAGGCGTGAGCCACTGTGTCCGGCTCCACCCATTTTTGTTTTGGTGACTTCTTGAGGCTCTGCAGGTCGTGGCTGTTGGTTTCTATTTCTGAGTGGAGCGAGGCTGCTGTTTCTGTGGGCGTGGGCTTTTCAGCTGGCGGCTTCACTGTGGTTGGCCATGTCCTTGTGAAACCCCAATGTTCAAATATTGAGGCCCTTTCCCCAGGGCTGGAGTATTTCAGAGGGCACCCTGGGGACAGTGGCTGGTAGCCGGTGTCTGAGGAACAGGAAGCTGGAGTAGCTGTGTGCTCCCACCTGGCAGGGGGAATGGGGGCGACCTGGGGAAAGCAGCTGCAGAAGGACTTTCTGCATCTCTGTGCCAGCCCCTTGCTGTCCCCACGTTTGTTGAAGCTGCTCACATAGATGCTTTTTCTGCTTTCTTCTGACACCTGGGTGGGGTGGGAGGGTAAAGGAGATGAACACACACGCATGGCCCACCGTGTTCGGCGGGGGGGAGTCTGAGAGGACTCGGGGTGGCTGCCGACACCTTGCGGATTTGATGTGACCCGGATGTTGGGTGAGGATTGCACAGCCAGCCGGCAGTGGTGCCATGGCAGGTGCGTTGTGACATCGCAGTGGAGCCCATCTGGCTGAGAAGAGACCCGATGCCTCCCCGGGACTGCCAGGAGGTGCCAGGCTGTACTGTGGGCAGAAGCTCCCCCTACCCCAGCAGGGAAATGGAGGCAGAATGCAGCCATGGTGAAGTTTATGGTAGTTTTAAAATACCTAACTCAACTTTGGGACGCTGAGGCAAGTTGATCACTTGAGACTGAGGCGGGCCGATCACGTGAGGCCAGGAATTGGAGACAAGTCTGGTCAACATAGCAAAAACCCCATCTCTACTAAAAATACAAAAATTAGCTGGGTGTGGTGGCGTGCGCGAGTAATCCTAGTGCCTCGGGAGGCTGAGACGTGAGAATCACGTGTACCCTGGAGATGGAGGTTGCGATGAGCCAAGATCGAGCCACTGCACTCCAGCGTGTCTCAAAAAAAAAAAAAAAAAAACCGAAAACATAACTTGGTGTCTTTAATACCATATTTATGCTTTCAGCATCAGTCTGGTTATTAAAAACTATCTCGGCCGGGCGCGGTGGCTCAAGCCTGTAATCCCAGCACTTTGGGAGGCCGAGACGGGCGGATCACGAGGTTCAGGAATATCGGACCATCCACTGGCTAACACGGTGAAACCCGTCCTCTACTAAAAATACCAAAAAACTAGCCGGGCGTGGTGGCGGGCCCGCCTGTAGTCCCAGCTACTCCGGAAGGCTGAGGCGGAAGAATGGCGTGAACCCGGGGAGGGGAGGCCTTGCAGTGAGGCCGAGATCGCGCCACTGCACTCCAGCCTGGGGCGACAGAGCGAAACTCCGTCCTCAAAAAAAAAAAAAAAAAAAAAAAAAAAAAAAAAAACTATCTCCATCAGGTTAATTTGATATTGATATTTAAATGTTGGTTTTGTAATTTTGTGTATTTAGTTTGGGTTAGAGATTGAGTGCTGCAGTATTATCTAAACTTCAGGTTCACGCATGTTTGCGTAGCTTAATGAAATTTCTCAGCACCGACAGTTACGGGAGTTTCTCTTTTAAAAGACTCAGTCCATTTTAATTAAGTTCGAAAATCACTGTCAGAGCTAGAATACCATTAATTATGTAATTTTATACACCCTCTGGGTATAAATGACATAGATGTAGACCTTTTTAATCCGATACATAGTATTTTAGTTTCATTTAAGCAAGTTAGGTTATTTTCAGTAATTTAATAGTGACACTTCTAAGAAGCAACCTAATCCTTCTTCCAAAGTCTGAAGATTTTTAAAAAGAAAGAAATCCCAGGCCAGGGATTCCCATGTGAAGCCGGTGAACAGTGCCAGCCGCAGGAGCTCGCTGTGTAGATGTTGGTGGAAATCCTTCACTAACACGATTAAAATGCCTTTGCAGACCTTTCAGACTTGCATTCTAGTAGAGCCACTTTTAGGGGGAGCTCTTCGAGTTACTTCAGCTTTAGGGCCCATATGTTAGTAAGTAGGTTGTTTACAATACCATTTAGTGGTTTTTTACTTCTTACTTTAAAGATACCATGAGCCCTGGGTGAGCCCTTGAGTTGGTGCCCAGCAGGGGGGTGAGCTTGTAGTGTTCTAGCTGTTCCTGAGACTCCCCCACACTGCAGGGTAAGGCGAAGAGTCCCGCTGTGACCGTAGGACAAGCTCCGGTAGGCCCCTCGGGAGACCACACCAGGCCTTCTCCTCGTCAGTCCGTCAGTCCGCACACGACACAGCAGCACTGCAGAGAAGCCAGCTTCCTCCAGAGTCCATCATGGAACTGCTCCCTGAAAATATAAAATCTTTGTCCAAGTGACAGACCTGGGTTTTTTTTTTTTTTTTTTTTAATGTCTGTCATAAATCCAGACACTCCCCTCCCAACCCGAAGGGTTAGCCTCAGGACACCTGAGGACTTCTGCACTGTTCAGTGATGGTGTTTCTTCTTCCCCGGGGTCTTGGCCTCTGTTGAGCTGGTATCTGGGGTCTTTGTTATGGTGTCAGAGATCTCAAGGCCTCCCTGACAGTTGTCTCACTTGGTAATGATGTCATCATTATCAATGGTGGTAACTGTATCCAGACAGTGACATGGAACTTCTACTGTCTAGAATATTACATTGTACAGAAGCCAACAAAGCATAGAATGTTACAACGTTTTTATTACTATTGTATAAGAATCAGATTTATTGTAAAAGTTAACATTAGGTGTGCATTATAAAGTTAGGCAACATTCTTCAGGACCCATTTTTTTCCATTTTTTTCTTTTAAAAATGAATTTTCTAAATTTCTACACTTTATCCTTGTATCAAGACAACGCAGTCTAGATAAATCCTGGTGCACCGGGGGCCCAGGCGTGGAGGTGGAGTAAAACTCCCATTCACCTGTGCTGGCAGGTTCTCTGCACCAGAACCAAGGAACGGCCACTTGGCAATTACAAGTTTGCCATGACAATTTTGCTTTATTCTGGGAGAACGTTGTATATGTTTATCTTTCTTTTGATCCTTTTTATTAGTTTTTTGGTATCGTGACTCCTCCCCAAAACCGCATCTGGTAAATCGCTTCTGTATTTTGTTGACAGCGGACATCATTTCCACCGTTGAGTTTAATTACTCTGGAGATCTTCTTGCAACAGGAGACAAGGGCGGCAGAGTTGTTATTTTTCAGCGTGAACAAGAGGTCAGTAATTTTCAGTCCACAAACCAAATGCAATTATTCAACCTTTCGCATATAACTTAGAAGGGAGGAAGCAAAATTATTTTCTCATTGTCTCATTTCATTAAGATTCAGTTCCATCACATTAGCCATACAGATTCTCCTTTCGGAAATTCTCTAAGTTCTGGCTTCGGCTGCTGAGCCCCGGTGAAGTCTCCAAGGCCTTTGTCTTCAGAGTAGGGAGGAGATTCCGCTGGGGACCCCATGAAGGATGCAGGGTGATGGTGAGGTGCATTTATGTGCTTTCATTCCATAAGAACTCAGGTGGCTGTCTCTGAAAATCCCTTTATTCGCCTGTGCGGGTTCTGGCCCAGCCCCGCCATCCTGCCCTGCCGTGAGGGAGAAGAGCGTTCTGTAGGGCACTGTGCTGTGAGCAGCTTTCTCAGCACTTCTTGCAGAGAAGTCTGGCAGGGGTGTGAATTCTCTCTTCCCTTCAAAGAGAGGTGAGCAGCACTCACTCCTCCATGCCCCCTTGAAGGCTTCACCTGTCCAGAGGGAAGGGAACCTTCAGAGTGTGGGCCTTGGAGGAGCCCACAGCTCATAAACAAACACTGGCTTCCAGGTCACGGCACTTCCTTTTCACTGATGCCTTGCCAGCCCCCTCCCTCTTCTTTCTGGAGCCTGGTCAGGTCCTCATGAGCAGTGATAAAGGAAGCGAGATCATGATTTGGTAGGCAAGGATGCCGGGCAGGAACCTTGGCTCGGCGCAGCCATGCCTGGAGTCTGAAATATTTGTTCTGCCTTTTCCTTAACAGAGTGTAAATACTGTCCCTTGCCCTTCCTGCCTCTGAGTTTCCTAACAGATGAAAGGGACAGTTTATCATCTCCAAAGTCTGGTCTCTAAATTTACGTGGTGAACTTTGGTTTAGAGGCTGGTGGGCCCTGGTTCCCCACTCTGCAGGTCTGTACGCAGGAAGCGCTGGCCCTGCCCCCAGGAAGGGGAGCCTGGAGGAGGCTGTCCCTGGGCCACATGGGGAAAATTGACAGGTGCTAACCAATTTCATTATCAAAACATACCTGTTGCAGCTTTAATTTTGATTATGTCCAGGTAGTTAAAGACTTTTTATAATTCCTGTTTTCTCTGATTTGGGATGGTAAGAAATCCTTTTGTGAGTAGTAAATATATTATCAATCTTTCTAAATCTTCACAGTTTGATATATTTATAATTTTGTATTTTTATCTCAGAAGTAGAATATCACATGATGCTACTTAAGAACCATATACCTTGGCCAGGCGCAGTGGCTCACGCCTGTAATTCCAGCACTTTAGAAGGCCGAGGTGGGCCAATCACCTGAGGTCGGGAGTTCGAGACTAGCCTGACCAACATGGAGAAACCCTGCCTCTACGAAAAATACAAAATTAGCCGGGCATGGTGGTGCATGCCTGTAATCCCAGCTACTCGGGAGGCCGAGGCAGGAAAATCACTTGAACCTGGGAGGCGGAGGTTGCAGTGAGCCAAGATCGCACCATTGCACTCCAGCCTGGGCAACAAGAGCGAGACTTCATCTCAAAAAAAAAAAAGAAGAACCATACACCTTACCTTTTTCAACAGAAGTAAAAGTGGGTTGTGGTGTTAAATAATACTTTTAAAGTGGGATGAGTTTTTGTTTTTTTGAGATGGAGTCTTGCTCTGTCGCCCAAACTGGAGTGCAATGGCGTGATCTCAGCTCACTGCAACCTCCGTCTCCCGGGTTTAAGTGGTTCTCCTTGCCTCAGCCTCCCGAGTAGCTGGGATTATAGGCACGCACCACCACACCCAGCTAATTTTTGCATTTTTAGTAGAGACGGGGTTTCACCATGTTGGCCAGGTTGGTCTCGAACTCCTGACCTCAGGTGATCCACCCACCTCGGCCTCCCACAGTACTGGGGTTGCAGGCATGGACCACCACGCCTGAGCAGCAGGAGGATTTTTTAACAAATTGCTGAGTCATGGTTATCTTACTGCAAAACTTCACTTTTAGCTTCTTTAAAAAGTCTGTCCTTGTAGCAGCAGCCTTAGGGAAAATACCTCATCCCCGCCTAACAGATTTTAGGATAGAAAATGGAATTTCTCTTGTTTTTGTGAATCGTTGCTTAACCCCAAAAATAATAGTTTCAAATATAAAACAGACCATGATAAAAGTCAAGCATCTCGTTCTAAAATATGTTGGGTATTGGAGTTTTAAGTGCTTATTTAAGATATATTAAGTTGTTATGTGAGTGACAGATTTACACTAGGAGCAAGTCCCTACTAAAGTTCTTTAATAAACCCAGTCAACTGCAACTTGATAAACCCCAGGCAGTTTTTTTCTTTTCCTTCATATTTTGGTTAACATCTGAAAGGCCTGCATGTTCCATCTGTTTTTAGACTATTTCGCTGGTTGCCACGTGTGACCCTCACTGTGGTCCTGTGTTTCTGTGTGGGTGAGGGTGGCAGTGCACGTTTTCATCCGTGGTCGGAGAGGCCACGGATGGTGTTGCAGCTGCCAAGAGGATGAAGCTGCTGCCCATTAAGCGACCCCAGCTCCCAGTTAGAAGCTGCAGCAAGGTTCAGAGGTGTCCACCTGCGCATCTTAGAATCGAAGGAGCATGGGGGATTCGGAAGGCTAGTGAGTGCCCCAGCAGGTTGTGGAAGGTGCAGGGCCTGAGGTTCAGGAGTCAGGCCCATAGAAGCTTGTTGGGAAGCTCTGGCTATGCAGAAGATGAGGTAGGGAGCATAGTCAGCGCCTTGAGTTTCAAGCTTTTCTTATTTTTCTGTGCAGATTAAGTCTTACAGGAAAGCCCAGCTGGTAAAACTAAGGCACACAGAATTTATGGATGTGGCTGTGCAGCTCCCTGCCCTCCAGGCTCAGCTCTAGTCCCCAGGAATCAGGTTAAATCAGAAATCAGCATGTCCAAAAAGAGAAGGTGCTTGCTTCCTCCTCCTCTTCCTGTGTGTTACTCCCCTACTCTCCTGTCTCTGTGCCCGCCGAGGCTTCCTTTAGAGTTCCTTTCCCTAGCAGAGCGGCTCTCCATGAGATCTCGGAGTGTTGGAGGAGGCTGAGGGGTTGCTTGGATTTTGGGTGTCTGGGATGGGAGTTGGAACCAGTACATGGCAGAGAGACAAGCCTGCAGCCCAGGGACCATTCTTGTTCTGGCTCCTGGGAGAAAGGGTGGCGCAGGCAGCACTTTGACTTGGACATTTTATTTTTTTGCTTATATTCCACTGGTTTTTCTTGACAGATGAATGTCTCGGGTATAGGACTAATTTAGTTATACAGATTTTTCTTTTTAAATAATTCGGTTCCATTTTTCTCCCTTGCAATAGAACCGTCTGTTGAGGGGCTGTGCTTTTTTGTAGAGGGGTAGGAGAGGGTCAAAGGAGAGCAGTTTTGACATCTGCCCTGTGCAGCACACGCGGGGCAGTCAGTGGCGAGGCGCTCAGCTCCTGCCCACGGAGGCTTCAGTGGAAGGAGTGCCCTGCACATCGGACTCCGTGCAGCGGAGAGGTGTGGGTAGCTTCTTGGGATGTCTTCTGATACTTGATCAGATTGGAAATATAAAGGAACATCTGTCGAGACTTAAAAGTTCGTTTAGTTCTGTTTCTTTAGCATATGTACTAAAATGTTAAACACCTAAGATATTAGATATTGGTTACAGAGCAAGAATGAAAATACTGGCGTCCTTGATTTTGAATTATGAAATATTTAATACTTAATAGAAAATTTCATTTAGGGCGTACAGAAGATTCAGAGGTTAATATAGATGTACCTGCAAACCCACTACCCGGAGATTATCCCTTCATCAAAGGAAAGAGAGTGCTCAGGATACCGATGACACTCCTGTTGTCCCCTCCCCGTTTCATCCTGCTACTTTCCTCCCAGTCTTTTTCCTTCTCCCTCTCTCTACCTTCCCAGAGTTGCTCATGATTTCAAAGATGGTATATATCTTCCCAAGCATGTTTCTCTACTTCTGTAACAGAATCGTTCTGTACATATGTAAGCAGCGCCTCACTCTGGGCGCCTGTGCGGCCTGCTTCACTTGGGCAGCACTGTGCCGTTGTCTGTGCTGGCTCATTTATCTCAGCCCGCACGGCTCTATGGCTTACTGGTGCCCTTCTCCTCTGGTTGGCATGCATGTGGCATCTGGTTCATACCACTGTGTTGGAGCCGCCACATCGCTGTGTCGCGCTCCTCGGGCCCGTGCCGGCTCTCCTGTAGAGCAGACTCTGCAGACGCTTTCTCTCCAGGGCTAGATTGCAAACATTTTTGCCTCTGTAGCTCATGCGGCCTTTTCACAACCACTCACCTCTACCCAGGTGGTACAGAAGCGGCCAGACAGAGTATGTGCACACATGGGCCTGACTGTTCCACTAACACTTGCCTTAAATACAGCAGGCTGCATTTGGCAGACCCTGCTCCAGATGCATACCTAGAAATGGAATAGAAGAGTTGGAAATCAAGTTCTTTCTTTTTTTCCCCAAAACATTGATTCTGAGTTTCATCTGTTTGAGATTTTTTTGAGCCAGGATTTTTTAGCTTTAAAAAATATGTGTGGTCATTTGATATTCAAATTTATAGTACGGAAATTTTCTCTGCACTGTGCTTTGTTCATTAAAACAGCTCTCATGTTTCTTTGCAGAACAAAAGCCGCCCTCATTCTAGGGGAGAATATAATGTTTACAGCACTTTTCAAAGTCATGAACCAGAATTTGACTATTTGAAAAGTCTAGAAATTGAGGAAAAAATTAATAAAATTAGGTGGTTACCACAACAGAATGCTGCTCATTTTCTACTCTCTACAAATGGTAAGAATTGTTTTCTAAGTGGCTGATTTAGTGTTTTATTTTTAATTTTCTGTGTGTGTAGATTTCTTTTTATTTTAGAAGTTATTCCTGCTTTAAATTTTGTGGGGAGGGTAAGTTATCTAGGGTAGCAAGTGATAGGTTGAAAATTCAAAGTATGCAACAAAAACCACACGTGCAAGTTACTAGGATGTTACTCTGCACGTCTCCACATCTTTGTTTATTGTGCACAACACCTCCAATTGGAAATATTCATGTTCAAAGACCCCATAGCTTATAAACCAACATAGGGCGACACCGCTTTCTAATATAATACTCAAACAGTAGTGATGCATGTTACAGTTTTTCTTTTCATATGGAGAATGAGGTTTTTATTTTCAGATAAAACTATAAAATTATGGAAAATAAGTGAACGGGATAAAAGAGCAGAAGGTTATAACCTGAAAGACGAAGATGGAAGACTTCGAGATCCGTTTAGAATCACAGCACTACGGGTATACGTTGCCTTTTCTTTATCCAATGCCGTTCAGAAGTTAAGAATAAACGTTTACGTCTGCTGTTTGGAGAGTCCTGCTGGGTGGAATACTGTGAGGTCCGCCTCCTGAGTCATGAAAGGCATTTGTGCTCATGACACATGTGTTTAAAGCAAGGTCTTTCTCCTATTTTCACAAAGGCAAAAAGTCACATGTGGTCTTTAGACAATACTGCAATACTAAGGGGAAAACTCACATCTAATTCTACAGCAGAAATCTTGGTGGACATACCAACCACCCTTCTCTCTGAAGGTTCGGAACAGCACCTGGCAGGTTGAAGTTCAGATGGAATTCCGAACACTTCGCAGGTGAAACAGCACAGGCTGCAGATCGAAAGATAAGCTGTGGGCCACCAAGATGCATTCAGGATGTTCTCATGGCATTTCTTTGGGGTTGACTTAGGCAGATGCTGACAGTTCAGAACTCTTCACCTGTCCGTCCATGAGCATCATTACTTTTTTAATTGTTAAGTTATTTGCTCCATTGTTGACTCCCCCTTACCACCCCCCCCCCGCATCATGCAGTATGAAATGACCATATTTCGTCAATTCCAGGGCCTAGATTTTTTCACATTTTAACATCTATGAAATCGGGTAAAACTTAAAACCTCAATGTCTTATAATTGGCCTGGTGCTACGTACGACTGATGTGTGTCTTAAATTAGATGGAACATGGTGAAGGGTGTCCAGCAAACTGGACTCAAGCCCGGGTGTGTCTTGGTGAGAAACCAGCACCTGTGCAGAGGTGTGTCCCCTGGAAGGAAACCCTGCCTGGTCCCAAGGGAGTGCCATTACTAGATCTGAAAACGGTTGGTGGGTGGGTGGGTTGGTTGGTTGGTTAATTGGTTGGGTGGTTTGGTTGCGGGGGGTGGGTGTGGCTGGTTGAGTTGGTTGGGTTGGGTGGCTGGTTTTTAATGAGATTTCAGCCCGTTACGCTATTGTTTATCAAGTGAAGACCGAGTGAGCGAGCCCATTCCACATTAGCCTTTGAAGTGCTACAGAGAAGGACGCTGAACTGCAGAAGCCTTTCCCTAACACACGTGCCCCTGGGAGTGACGCTGGGTCTGTTCTGATGCCATTTCTCCAGCTTTGGCGTGCGGGGTGGGTGCACCTGGGGTCGTGCATTCCCCAGTTTCCCAGGAGGAGTGTCCTCAGACTTCTCACATCGATGTTATCACCCTGTTTCCTATGAGCTCATCAAAGTGAGAAAGGCTGTGGCATGTGCTGAAAATGTAGTTTATAGGGTCCTCATGTGAGCCAAGATGTTTCAATCCAAAATGGTGGTGGTGTCTGATACACAGTGCCGCTGCCTTTGCATCCATGAATTAGTGTAAATCATTTTTAGTGACAGTAACACGAGTTGTGCAGTTCCTTCATCATGAAACTGCTGACCCTAAAGTAGAAGTGTGATGGGACCCCCGAGGGTGGGCACTTGACCCCCTCCAGTCTCGTCCATCTCTTCTGCAGGCAACACCACCTCCCACCCAGGTACCTGTGCATACCCCACCCTCAGAAACCCCTGTTCCTCCCAATCAGACCCTGCCACAACCCATGAGTTCACATGCTCATTTTGGGAAAACAGTAGGCCTTTACTAGGCCCAGTCTTGGTTTTATTCAAGGCTGCTTTTGTAGGTTTAGCCTAAATAAAATGAGTATAATTGGTGGCCCTACTGAAGGCTTGTGAGAAGTATAGTTATTTCATTAGTCAGTGCATGGGGAAGAGACCACAGACAGGTAATTCTGTACAATGACTTAGGTCAGTATTTGAGATTGTACCTCTCTAACAGTTCAGAATGGGCTATTTATGTATCTGAGCCTAACTGGGTAAGAGTCAGAAATGTTGCTATTTTTAAATTTTTGCTCTTAAATTATTTTAGTGCCAGAAAAGGGATATAATTAAAAGAAGAAATCTTGGCCAGGCACGGTGGCTCATACCTATAATCCCAGCACTTTGGGAGACTGAGATGGGAGGATCACTTGAGCCCAGGAGTTCAAGACCAGCCTGGGCAACATAGCCAGACCCCATCTCTAAAAATGAAAACAAATCATTTTATATGTAAATTAAAATTTTTTTAAATAAAAGAAGGAATCTTTGTAAGTATTGCAGCTATCATGTGTTTTGATTAATGGGAGATTTGTTAGAGGATTGTGGCAGGTGTGTGTTTTTTAAGCCTGAACTTCGTTGAACTGATTCTTCTTGATCTAGAGAATCCAAGGCTGTGGTCAGCACTAACTGGGTTAAAATGGGGGAAGTCTCACTACACACACTTCTCCACGTTCGTTTCTTACAGAATTTGGCCAGACAAGACTCAGTTGAGAGATTTTTCTTCCCTAAGCTTTCAAGGCTCTCCCTTTTGGTTTCTAATTACAAGAATAACAAAAAATACTCTCATTAATTTTTTGTTTTGATTTTAAAGCTTATGTTTTTCTTCCAGCTGGGTGTTAGGGAGATGCAGACCTTTGTCCTTTTTTCATGTGTGATGCTATTCCTCACACCTGAGCTCTCACCTCTGACCTCAGGCGGCCTCCAGCCAGCACCCTTCTCCTCTCTGTCCTTTCCATTTCAGTGTGAATTGGGCTTCCCTAGAAGCCTCCCTGACCACAGCACTCGACACAGAGATGGGTGCGGGAGGTACCTTTTACTTTTTGTTTTAACCTCAGATGAAGTGTAATGAATGATACATACCTCCAAATAATATGTCTGCCCTATAAGTGACCAGCTCCATGAATGTTTGTAGACTGGACATGCCCGTGTAGTCAGCCCCAGACCAAGAAATGGAACATCCTCAGCTCCCCAGCACCCACCTGTGCACCCTGCCAGTCCCTGGAGCCGGTGGAGGCTTGTGGGGTTTGCACCAAGAAGCGTAGTCCTGGTGCAGTGAGAGGAGGTTTGTGCATGTAGCTGCAAGGAGAGGACAAAGGGAGGGGCTCAGCTGAGCCACCCAGGAAGACTTTGCTGTGCAGCGTCTCAGTGTGGCCACCAGAGGACGCATAGGAGAGGGAGCCGCAGGCCTCGGTGCCTGGGCAGCTTGTATCGTGCCAGCTGATCTTCTTTTCTTCAGCAGGAAGAAAATGTCGACCTCGGTAATGGAAGCAAGGGGGAACACTTGGAATAGACAGTATTCAATTTTGTAGCGTATTTTCATAACTCTGCTAATTGGTTATTTGGGGGTATTGCCTGAACAGAATTATTAGCCGTGAATATAAACTTGTCCTCTTTCGTTATCTACTGTAAGTGTTCTAATGACATGCTGCTGTGATCTTTGTTTTGAATTCCTATTTCCTTCCATTTTTAGGTCCCAATATTGAAGCCCATGGATCTTATGGTAGAAGCGAGTCCACGGCGAATTTTCGCAAATGCTCACACATATCATATAAATTCCATTTCAGTAAATAGTGATCATGAAACATATCTTTCTGCAGATGACCTGAGAATTAATTTGTGGCACTTAGAAATCACAGATAGAAGCTTTAGTATCCTTCCTCAGAGGGACAGTGGCGTTTTCCTGAGGGTGCTCTTTAGATAGTGATTTCTCTTGTTCCTTTATACACCTGTATCTCAGAGTCTGGTCTTGTAAATACCGTCGCTGCACAGCAGCCTGTGATATGAGTTCTCTGTGATTTGAAATGTTTGTCCCTAAAGATACAAATTTCTTTCTACCTTTGGGAAAAAGTTATCTGTGTGATGGGAATTACCCGAAGTCCACTGCTTGCCTGCTTTAGTCAGAGACAATTTTAAATAGGCTGCATTTGAAAAATCAACTTTATGTGTTTTTTTTTTCTAAATTTGCTGCATTTGAAAAACCAACTTTATGTGGTTTTTTTTTTTCTAAATTTGCTAACGGATGATAGAAAATACTGGCTTAGGTTAGAGCGGTGTTTAATCACCCATCTGAGCAGCAGCTTCCAGTTAGAACTTGCATTCTTCTGTGGCCGTGCACGGTCTGGGCGGCCCCAGCCCTCCTCATATGGGCCTCTTTCCAGCCAGCAGGCGGGAGCAGGGGGCTTGCTTCATCTGCAGCCTCTCCAGGGTCCCTGCCGTCCTCCCTCTGCTGTCCAGCGGCTTGAGCTGGGGTTCCATGTCGTGTTGGTTTTCTTAGTTGTTTCAGCTTACGGGGTGAAACGGGGCCGCTGGTCTGAGTTGACCCACAGCTGAATTCTGCCCTTCCTTCCTTTTTTCAGTCGAAGGATTTCTGTATAGGGCAGCCTGCCATGTTGGATCTGCTGTAACTACACAGAATAAACTTCATGTCAGGAAGAGCAACGTCTTTTGCAATATGGCGGTTTTCTTGCTTTTGTAGTTTTGTATGGGAGTGTGGGATTTTGCACAGATGGTGCTAGCTTGCTCTTCCTATTTGTATGATTAAGTATGTACTGTCTTGCTATTAAGGGCTTTCTGTATAACAATAATAGCAGCAAGATGAAAATGGCGTTCGTGTGTCGGGGTCTCCCCCGGGCCGGCCGTTGCTGCCGTCTGAGTGTGCTCGTCCCAATCCTCTTACCAGGCGCTCCTTTGGAATTCAGGATGTGTAATCGGCCTTCTTAATAGCTAATCCCCTAAACCTCACCGTGTGGATTATTTTCATGCTGTTTCACGTGACTGAATGTAACTAATGAAAACCAGCTGAGCCGAGCACTGTGCCTTAACCACGCCCTTCCAGACATCGTGGACATCAAGCCTGCTAACATGGAGGAGCTGACCGAAGTCATCACCGCAGCCGAGTTCCACCCACACCAGTGCAACGTGTTCGTCTACAGCAGCAGCAAAGGGACCATCCGACTGTGCGACATGCGCTCCTCGGCCCTGTGCGACAGACACTCCAAGTGTAAGTGCCTGCGTCTTGTTTTTGAGACGGAGTCTCGCTCCGTCGCCCAGGCTGCAGTGCAGTGGTGCGATCTTGGCTCACTGCAAGCTCCGCCTCCCGGGTTCAAGTGATTCTCTTGCCTCAGCCTCCCGAGTAGCTGGGACTACAGGCACTAGCCACCATGCTCAGCTAATCTTTGTATTTTTAGTACAGTCAGGGTTTCACCATGTTGACCAGACTGGTCTGACCTCAGGTGATTCCCCCATCTCGGCCTCCCAAAGTGCTGGGATTACAGGCGTGAGCCACCATGCCCAGCCGTACCTGGCGTCTTTTAAAGCCTCTCATTTAGAACCACTTGTTCTTCAGACGTTGACTTGTCTCCAAAGACTTAGAGGGTTCTTCCTGTTCCCCAAGTACCTTTGCGCACCTGGGGAGCCCTCCTTTGCTGGGGCCGTCCAAGCGTGGCTGTCAGAGCTGCTGCTAATAAGTGGAACTCGAGGTCGTGCTTCCCACAGGCTTGCGGCTGTAGGGTGGGTGCTTGTGGCACCACCGAGAAGTGGGTCATTTATGCCCAGAGCCTGGGTGTCTCCTCAGAGGCTGCCAGCACTGGGTCCCACCAAGAGCCACCCGTGCCTCTGCCTCTGTGCGTGAGACCTGGGCTGACGCCGTCAGCACACAGGAGGCTGTTCCCAAGTGCTGGAACGAGCTCTGTTTGTGTTGAGCTTGGCTGGATTGGAAGCCACTTCCCTGAGCTGAAAGTCTAGCATTTTAATCCACTGAGCTTTCAAGTTCCTTCTAGGTGAGGGGGGATCTGGTTTTGTTTTTATTTTTAGCCATAAAGAATGGGCTCGACTTGACAGAGCACTGTAGTCAGCGTGTCCCAGTGTCCTGAAACATTGCTGACCCTTCTCCAGTGCCAACAGGTAGACACGTGTCCAGTGACTTCCTCTAACGGGGAAGCCGCCAGTCAGTCCCACCAGACTGAGGCACTGCTCGTGTGCAGCGGCGCCCCCAGCGCCTCGGTGGAATGTGCCACCGACCTTGCCCAGCAGCCTTTTTGCCTGTTCTCTTTCCTGAGGTTGAGGTGTGTTTTTAAGAATTCCGTATTTCTACTAGAATTCCTGCGATGAAGAGAAGTGTGTCATAGCATTTGGCCTGTATCTTAAGCGTAACATTCTTGAGTAAGTAATTTCAGATTCCAGTTCTATTTGTCATCAGAGTGACTTACTTGAGTAAATGCTTGGTGTCGGCACAGCTGGCTTCAAGTTAACTTCAGATACTAAGCCAACAAACACACAGGCTCCTACATCAAGAAAAAAGAGAAAAAACCTAAAGCAGCTTAAGGTCAAGGAAGCACAAGCCAGGTGCAGTGGTGCACACCTGTGGTCCCAGCTACCCTGGAGGCTGAGTGGGGAGCATCACTTGAGCCCGAGAGTTTGAGACCAGCCTGGGCAGCATAGCAAGACCTTGTCTCTTAAAAAAAAAAAAAAAAAAAAGAAGCACATCTCTCCTGGCCTGAACTTTACAAAACCTTAAGGCATGACCTTATGCTAGGGCAGTCAGTGGCCCAGTGGGGCCGTGGGCACCTCTCTCTGCCACAGGTGCAGGTGGAGGGAACTCTGTCAAATTACTGCAGAGAAAGCAAAGTCTGCTGAGGAAGCCCTCAGATCTTTCTGAAAATAGGAATCCAGTTTTGTCACAGTAGAACTTGAGTGTTCAGTATTGGAGACAAACCTTTGCTGGCTGGCTTTGACAGGCGGGACCATCTTGGTGGTTAAAATCGGGACCACAGTGTTGCCGGTCAAGGTGGTCACTCCTGCAGACCCACAAGCTGTCAACCCTCCGAAAAGCAGGCAGTTTCTCAGAGGCGCAGACCGCTGTGTCTGCATGACCATATAATGCTGTTTATGTCTTCCTGTGATATGTATGCGATAGGATTTCACGTGCTCGGGCCTGGTGCCATGAGGATGCAAAGACACTCCTACAGGAATGCGGTGGTGCTGAACCTGGGCCCACATCAGGATGCCCCGAGGAGCTCCCACAGATTGCAGTGCCCAGGACCTTGCCTAGAGGTTCTGATTCAGGGTCTGGATGAGACTTGGGTGTCTCCGCTTCTGATGCCCGTCCCTTGTCCATAGCTGGTGCTAGAATGTCGTATCCGAAGCTTTTGCCCACGGAAGTCACAGAAGATCAGAAAACCTAGAGAATCAGAAAGATCAGAAGACCTAGTGTTGTTGAGGCCAAGCCCTTCCAGAGTCTCTGTGAAGGGGCCACGTCCTACTTGAACTTGAAAATGATTTGTTCTCTGATTTTTAAACAGAAGCTGAAAACGTTTTATTTTGTTTTTCAGTTTTTGAAGAGCCTGAAGATCCCAGCAGTAGGTCCTTCTTCTCAGAAATAATTTCATCCATATCTGATGTAAAATTCAGTCATAGTGGGCGGTACATGATGACCAGAGACTACCTGTCGGTGAAGGTGTGGGACCTCAACATGGAGAGCAGGCCGGTGGAGACTCACCAAGTCCACGAGTACCTGCGCAGCAAGCTCTGCTCTCTCTATGAGAACGACTGCATCTTTGACAAGTTTGAGTGTTGCTGGAACGGTTCGGATAGGTAAGGCCTGCGTGGAGATGAGCCGTCGCCCCAAGCTTGCTGGTTTCCCAGAGTGCAAGGTCAGTGAGGGAGGCGAGCTGTCCTCAAGCGTCAGAGGACGCCCATAGGTGTTGTTTTCCAGACGTTTTGATTGATGGATGATAGTATCAAGGTAGAGAAAATAGGATCTCTGAGCAAGTTTCTCACCTAGCTTGTCATTCCATCTATATTTAGACAAGAAGTATGGCACTAGGTACAGGCCGGCTGTGTTTTAAATGATTAGTGAATGTTAGTTTTATTACTTTTTATTATGCCAAAGATGAGTGAAAAGGAAGGAAGTGGGGAGGGATTCACCTCACTGGAACGGCCGCGTTGCCGTCCGCCTGTCCTTCCGGAGAGAAGTAGATGGAAGCGCCCCAGAGCCGCTGCCTGTTGTGCCCAGACACAGCGTGGTCGCGGCTGCTGTGAAACGCTGGTGTAATTTGTAATGTGCTGCTTCTAGGACCTTGATAATTTATTTTGTATACATTCTTTAAAGATATTATGATTAGTGTGGTTGACAGTTACGTTTTATTATTATGCAAAAAGTTACGTTTCAGATGATGGAAGATTATCTTGCACCATTTTAATACAGAATTTTTGTTCAGAATTTAAAAGTACAGAGGAGTCTGCTATTGGCAATAGGTGATTGACTGGATATTCTGCGAAACCCTCTGGCATAAACACCTAGAAATGCTGGATATGATACAGCAAGTGTCTCTTCAGGTGCGTAGTTGAGCCCACAGATAAGCAAGGGAAATCTCACAACAGCCAGAAACTAAGAGGCAGCGAGACCAGAACAGCAGCCTCTGAAGGCGTCTATTCTGAGAGCAGCCGTGCAGCCCCGGCTGGCCTCAGGGCCATCAGCCCATAGCGGGAACCACTGCGCCCGTGAACAGCAGGTTGTGGTGCAGAGCTGGAGCCTTGGCCCACACGTGGTGACTTGCTCACGGTGGCTCTTCCTGTGTGAGCGTGGTGTTTTCAAGAGCTGAAGCCTTGACCCACACGAGGTGTGGAGTTGGAGCGGGGACCCTGGAAGATGATGTCTCCCTCCACTGGCAGGTGGAGTCCAAAGGGCAGTTTATCTGTCTGAGGCCTCACATGGGGGGGTGGCCAGCACTCCCTTGAGACGTGGAAGCATAACCTCCCTGCACAGGGTTTGCAGTGTGGGTTTGTTCGGCTGCGTCATGATCTGTCAGGTCTCACGCCGTGGAGCTCCTGCCTCCACCAGGGCTGTGTGCGGGCATCGGGACGGACCGGCGTGGTTCCAGCTGTGGCTTCTACTGCGAGGGCTGTGTGTGGGCATCGGGACGGACCGGCGTGGTTCCGGCTCTGGCTTCTACTCTGTTTGCAGACTGACCTGTCAGCCTGTAGCATCTCACGGATGTTGACTGAAGACATGAGGTTCCTGGGTCCTCGTGGCACCGCAGGCAGCATGAACCTCTCGTTGGTCTGGGTTCCCCATGGGTGGACACATGAGGCCATGGCTGATGCACACTGAGCTTGGAGAACCCCACTGCTCTCACAGTGGGCAGTAAACACACCTACACTTTGACCAGAAGAGACATGATCTCATTCCTCAAGGCCGCTTGCTGGAAGCACAGCCCTGAGAAGTGGCCCAGGTGGAGAGAATGGCATTGTTGGCAGACTCCATGAGAACACACATGCTGGGTGGCTGCTGCCAACACACCCAGATCTCTCTGAATTTCCTCACATTAAAATCATCTAAACATGAGCTCACGGGTGAAAATTACCAAGCACATACAGGAAAAGCCACCGTGAGCAAGTCAGCAGAACCACAGTAGAACTGAACCTCCAGGAAGGCAGCTGTTGAGATCCTAAGTTAAAGAAGATAAACTAAGAATGCTTGAGATATTCACAGACTAGAGGAAGGAAACAGCCAAAAACAGGAACCACATGACTGCTAAACATGACCTGGAGACTGGAAAGGAATCAGATCATCTAGAAATGACAAGTGTGATAGATGAAACTGTGTGGGTTTAGCGGCAGGTCCATTTTGGCTAAACAGATCTTCTATTAGTGGATGGAAAGGAAAACCAGAAGAAATGGGGGTAAAGAGCTAAACAGAAAACGTGAGACACTAGGAACTGTGGAGGCCAGGATGAGGCACAGCACACGTTTAAACGGAGAAGTGTGGGGTGCTTAAAGTGACAGTGGCCAGCAATTTTCGCTAATTTATGGAAGCCTGAATACACAGAATCGGGAGGCACAGAAATGCTCACCCATGTCATCATGAAATTGCAGGACACCAAACACAAAGAGAATATCTTAAATGCACCCAAGGAAAAAACACAAATTACCTCCGAAAGCGGACACCGAGAGTGAGACTCGGCTTTGCCATGGCCACAGTGGGAGCCAGAAGCCGTGTGACAGATCCAGCAAGTGTGACTGGTGACTCTCCACTGCCAGCTTAGAGGCAAGCCTTGAAATAGATGACTTGTTCAAGAATCTGCTTGTGATAAAATTATTTTCAAATGGGAAACAATGTATCACAACAGGGAACTCAGTAGAGTGAGCTGTGAAGGGAGCGTGGCCCTGCAGAAAGGGGCTGAGACAGATGGGGAACGCAGCTGGCAGGGAAGAGCAGTGCGGTCTCTGCAGCTCTGCCAGCTGGGCGACCTTAGTTAACTGTGCTGGGGGGAGAAAAATTAGAGCCCTCGCCAGCCCCACACAGTAAATAAGCTCCGAGTGCTTGTAAGCCTGAGGCGTCTTCGTGAGCTCTGGAGACAGAAGGGCTTTAACAGGCCCCAAAGCCCAAGGAAAACATTAAGAAATTCAACTACATTAAATTTTAAACTTGTTTATATTGAAATTAAAAGTGAAAATCCCCAAAAACGTAACGAACAGAGATTAAGTATCCAGAAGATGTGCAGAATTAGGAGTCAGCAAGAAGGCGGCAAACAACTCAGAAAAGAGCAAACACCATGAATGGGGTTTCGGAGAAATGGAAAAATAAATAGAAATGTTCATCCTTTTTAGTGATCAGCAAGTAAAGCCAGAGGGACGTCCTTTCACGCCCGTCAGAACGATGAGGGTGTAGGGGAGAGGGTGGAGACTGGTGGTCTCACCCAGTGCCCTTCTTGTGGGCCTCGGTGACATTCAGTCCGGTTGGGAGCTTCTTGCGTGTACAGACAAGCAAACGTGCTCAGATACCTGAAACAGCAAACACTTGGAGACAGCCCACAGGTGCAAAATTAGGGGAATGGACAGGTAAGTTGTTCTCTGTCATAACATATACTGAAAAGCAGTGAGAATCAGTTATTAGAACTACATGGATCACGTAGGTGGATCTCACAAATTTCAGGAGGAACGTGTACAGCACAATGACTACAACGTGTTTAAGACATACAAGACAGTTTTGTTTTAAGACTCGGTAACTGTTGGCCAGGCACAGTGGCTCACGCCTGTAATCCCAGCACTTTTGGAGGCCGAGGAAGGTAGATCATGAGGTCAAGAGTTTGAGACCAGCCTGACCAACATGGTGAAACCCCATCTCTACTAGAAATGCAAAAATTAGCTGGGCATGGTGGTGCACGCCTGTAATCCAACTACTCAGGGGGCTGAGGCAAGAGAATGGCTTGAACCTTGGAGGCGGAGGTTGCAGTGAGCTGAGATCGTGCCACTGCACTCCAGCCTGGGCAGCAAAGCGAGACCTTGTCTCAAAAAAAAAAAAAAAAAAAATCTGTAACTATTCAAAATGTAAATGTGTGTGGGGATGACACATATGTACTCTAGCAAGTGAAGACCCCAACTGGGAACGGGATAGATCATCTTTCTTTCCAGAGTGGTAACACAGTGTGGGGGGTTCACTGTCTTAGCAGTGACCTGCGGGTGTGGGGAGGTCCCTGTCTTAGCAGTGATTTGCGGGTGTGGGGGGGGTCACTGTCTTAGCAGTGACTTGCGGGAGTGTGGGGGGTTCACTGTCTTAGCAGTGACTTGCAGGTGTTCAGTGGGTGGTCCCTGTCTTAGCAGTGACTTGTGAGTGTGCGTGGGGGGAGTCCCTATCTTAACAGTGACTTGGGGTGTGTGGGGGTGTTCACTGTCTTAGCAGTGACTTGCAGGTACGTGGATAGTTACTGTATTCTTTATTCATCTTGATACATTTCAAATATTGCAAAATACCCTTAGATTACATATCCCCAAGACCATCTAAAAGCATTCCCAGTAACACTTGCTTAGTCCATTTACTTTCACAGACACGCCCATCTTCCTGCCTGGAAACTTCTGTTGAGGGACCTGATGAAGGGGAGTGAGGCGTTGCAGTGCTGCCTCAGCCCAATCCTGATTCTGTGTGTGGCAGCGCCTCCTCGTGTTCTAGGTCGCCTCACAAAACCAGTTATGCGCTTGTGTCTGTGTCTGTGTCTGTGTCTGTGTCTGTGCTGTTCCCTTCCTGGGCCAGCACCGGGCTGCTGGGCAGCGCCCTTGTTTGCAGTGTGGAAACACCCGCTCTGGGGCTGGCACTGTCTGTGAAGAATTTAAAAGTGATCATAAATCTGTGTAAAAGCTGATCTGCTTTTCATTATTACCACGCACCAGCAATTCCAATGTCGGCCGTACATCTTTTGTTGTCTATGTTGTGAATAATGGTTGCTGTTGAGTTTTAATAACATAAATGTGAGCTTCAGATTCACACATTCTTACTTACCCTTTCGTAAACATTGTGTTCTATGTGGAAACTAATTTCGGGAACTCCCAGTCGATGGCCCTCACGTGCCAACTTGGCTGCACACCCCTGTTCCAAGACCACGTGCACAACTTGGCATTGCTGGAGGGCGCTGGGCACATCTTGTGTCTCCTGCCCCTGTGGTGCCGTGGACTCCTGGATGGAAGCAGGAGATGTGAAATAAACGTGGATAGCTGAGTGCAATTTCTCTTTTCTGAGTTTGTCTTTTTTTGTGTGTGTATGCTTTGAAGTTTTAGACAAGGTCAGCCAGACACTAGATATTTGCCAGCAGCTGGGGTCAGTGCTGGGCCATGGAAGGGAAACAGCCTGCTTCTTTCTCGTGGCACCTTGAAGACGTGTCGGCGCGAAGGCCTCTCGCCGTGCGTGACCCTGGGGGCAGGACGTGAGGGTGCGGGTCAGTGTCAGAATACGAAGAGCAGACGAGCTTCGAGGACTGCTGGAGAAATCAGAAGGGCATTGTTTGAACACATCTTTCATCAGAAACTGGACTCATAAAGCCATGGGTCAGATCGTGGCAGTGTTTGCTATCATTCAGCCATTTTTCTGTCATTTTTGTAGAAAAAGTAAGATTGCAGAGGTGTTTGCCAATATGAAGTTAGGAGGGTGTGTGCGTTAGTGGAATTTTTCAACTGCAGAGAAATTTGAAAGCCATTACAATTGGTCTTGAAGAAACAAAAGCATGGACAGTATTGTATTGTCTGGAACGTGCTGTGAAATGCAGTTGTTCTGAAGTTCTGCCACACTTCGCCCAGTGTTTAAGATTTTTACTATTTCTATCCATTGCTTCATTTGAAGGAAACTTTTTGAAATTAATAGAAAAGCAGTTTAACTCTGAAGAAACATTGACAGATATGACTAGTAACTGTTGAACATGATAAGGATTATGTTCAGGTCATTATGAATTACTGACAAATTGCAGAATTTAAGGCTTAAAAATAAACTGTACTGTTATTCATGAGTGAGATAAATAGGTGGGATTGTTTCAGAAAATATACTAATGTCATTAAAAGTATGACTCCATTATTTTGTTTCTCCTGTGACTATTCTTACTGACATGATTATATATAAAGTTCAGTAAGAATCTTCACTGCATTTCTCTTCTGTTACTGTGATTGTTCATTCCTGATTTCTGAAAGTAACTGGGTTGTGGGGGAGGGTGGTGTGCACCGTGCACCCCAGGGGTGGGGTCTGAGTCCTTGTTGCTGCTCCCCCCACTTAGGAGTGCTGCTGTCTGCTCTTGTTTTGAACAGCGCCATCATGACCGGGTCCTACAACAACTTCTTCAGAATGTTTGATAGAGACACGCGGAGGGATGTGACCCTGGAGGCCTCGAGAGAGAGCAGCAAACCACGCGCCAGCCTCAAACCCAGGAAGGTGTGTACAGGGGGTAAGCGGAAGAAAGATGAGATCAGTGTGGACAGTCTGGACTTCAACAAGAAGATCCTGCACACGGCCTGGCACCCCGCGGACAATGTCATTGCCGTGGCTGCCACCAATAACTTGTACATATTCCAGGACAAAATCAACTAGGGACGCGAACGTGAGGACCGTCTTGTCTTGCATAGTGAAGCCGATCATTTTTCTGTCAGAGAAAGGCGTCATCGTCCACTCCATTAAGAACAGTGACGCACCTGCTACTTCCCTTCACAGACATGGGAGAAAGCTGCCTCCTCTGGAGGCCCGGTGTGTTTCTGCCTTTGGCGAGGCGCGAGGCAGGCGCTACTGCTCACATGGAGACGCTCTCGAAGCAGAGCTGACGGACACCGCTCCCAAAAGGCCATGACTCAGAATAAATGTATTTATTTCAGTCCGAGCCTTCCTTTCCAATTTATAGACCAAAAAATTAACATCCAAGAGAAAAGCTGTTGTCAGTTACCGCTCTTCCTCTGACTTTCCCTCTTTCTCTGCCATCGCACTTGGGCCTTCACTGCAGCGTGGCGTGGCCACCGTCCGTGTCCTCTCGGCCTTCCTCTGAGTCCGGGTGGGCTCCGTGTATGTGTGGATGTGGCCCGAGCAGGCTCAGGCGGCCCCACTCACCCACAGCATCCGCCGCCACCCCTTCGGGTGTGAGCGCTCAATAAAAACAACACGCTATAAAAAGTGTTTCTAAATCCAAACGTAAGCATTGCCTTTTCATTGCATAGAATGAAGTTATGCAGGGTTCTTCTTTGGAACTACCTGTTTGAGAAATGTGTCCCCTTCTTTGGCAGTGTGGGGGGATGTGTGCAGCATTTCTGTCCCCAAGCTGCCACCCGCTGTGTTTCTATAGAAGGAGCCCATCGGATACACCAGGTAAGGTCTGGGAAAAACCAGAACCGAGGCCACCTCTGAGAAAGGAAGAACCGAAATTGCTGCCATCTAATTAGCCTGGTTTAAAGTAGCCTCAAATTCACTACAGATGAAGAAACGTGCTTTCTTTCTAAGGCTTTTGAAAAAGTACTTTGGGGGAAGTATACTTTTTAAATATTGCTAAAATTATATGCATGCTAAATTGCATCCTGCATTTCAAGCCAGGAAAATTAAGTAATTTTAATTACATGATGCCACCAGCACGTTGGTTTATTTTCAAGTAAGATCTTTGATACCAGAAATCAAGATTTTCCAAGACAAATAATACAGAGCTGTAACAATGCTGAGTGACCAGAGCTTGCTTCTGTGGGATTTAACACACACCCACTACGTGTCCCCGAGGGGAGTGGGGAGTCGGGCTCCCGTGCTCCTGTGGGGATGAAGGTGTGTGCCAATTCCTCATGCCCCTGTGGGGATGAAGGTGTGTGCTGATCCCCCATCCCCCTGTGGAGATGGAGGTGTGTGCCGATTCCTCATACCCCTGCGGGGATGAAGGTGTGTGCCGATTCCTCGTACGCCTGTGGGGATGAAGGTGTGTGCTGATGCCCTGTCCCCCTGTGGGGATGAAGGTGTGTGCTGATCCCCCGTTCCCCTGTCTAGATGAAGGTGTTTGCTCATCCTGATTCCTCGTGCCCCAGTGGAGATGGAGGTGTGTGCTGATTACTAATCCACATGCACAAGAACAGGGTGTCCGTCAATACCCTGAATTAATGCTAACACAGTGCCACTTGAGTTCACATTAAGTTAGAAATTGAAAATCTAAAAGTACTTTTATTTTAACTTAAAAATAATTTCTATACTGTATATTGATTGATTGTGACACAATTTACAAAGTCGGAGGTGTGGAACAGAGTTATTTAAACATTAATCAACCCTGGTCCTTAAAAAGACAGTTCTAGTAAAATGGGATTGTATATATTTGTTCAACTATTTTGACCAAAAAAAGTTTAATAAATTTTAAATGTTTAACTGGATTCTCACTACGTATTTGGACACCTTTTGCCATCTTTCCTCTAGAACGTATTTCCCACTAAATAGCCACCTCCTCCACCTCCGGGGCAGAGCAGAAGGTGCAGCCCAGGTGGATCCGTGTGCAGAGGCTCTGTGTGGCACGGCTGCTCCCATGGGACCACCAGTGCCTCTAGGTCTGGGGTGCACGTTCCCTGGAGGTGTCCTCACCTGGCTCTGGGGCCCCTGTGGGGGAAGTCACCTGGCCAGCAGCCCTGTCCATTTCCGTGGGTTCTCCCCAGTGCAGTCTTCATGTTCTGAGAGGCGCTGGCGATTGCAGGCACCTATGTCCGCAAAAAGCAGGATCCATTCACTTCTGAGAAGGAAGTGCCATCAATAGGCATGGAGGAAGTTTCTCCTGGGTTCTTTTCCCTTTTATACTTCAAATTCCATTCAAGCCTTTTTCCATCGCAGTGAGGTAAGAATCCTGTCTTTTTCAGACTTAATATTTATTATTTATATTGAAGCTTATGAAATATCTGTTATTTCTCTTGTTCTAACTTTCCTCTTTTCTGCTTAAAGTGATAACAGTGTCATCAGCTTCTGAAGGTTAATGCTGAGCACACTTTTCATTGATGAAGGTTCTGTGCCTGTGGTTCACATGAAGGTTTGCTGTGCTCTGGGGTGATGACCTGGATTCCATGAACACACTTCCTTCATATGTGGATTTAACATGCCTTTTTTGAAAGAAAAATGGAGCTCCTATGAACCAGTTTATGATGCCATTGTGGACACACTCGGTCTGATTTCGGAAGCCACACGACTGGCAGGTGTGGGCTGGAGACTGCAGCATGTGCATGTCTGTCTGTCCTGTGTGGAGCCAAGTTACCGCCGTTAGCGCCAGAAGCCACCCAAAGCGCGGTGCCATGGGTTTGGTGTGTGTCCTGCTCCCGGCCAGACGAAGCTGGCCCCGGATCCGCCTGGCGCGGCTGCTCTGCGTCACCCCTTTGCTTGCTTGGGAGGAACAGTGGGTCTGGATCTGTGGAGGCTGAGTGGCCCTAAGCTTGCTTTCTCCTAAACCTGTGCCGTGTGTCCTTGGCCAGCGGCTTTGGCGTCAGCCAGGGAGTAGGGGAATGAGGTCAGACCCAGCAGGAGTCCAGGCTGTGCAGGACAGCAGAGGTTGCATCTTCCCAGAGCTGCAGGCGAAGGGACATGAATGAAGTGCCTGCTGTATGCAGGGTGTGGCTCTGCTCGCCCTGGGCTGGGCCAGGGGTCCTGAGTGGGGCTGGAGCGGCATTTTCCGTGGTGAGCTGTCCTGTTGGTGCTGTGCTGGGATCACCAAGGGAGTTGGATGGAAGCCGTCTGTGAGCTGGTGAGACAGCCAGCCAGGAATCCAGCCACAGGTGGGAAGAAAATGCAGCTCAAACCCGTGGAGCTGAAAGGGGCCTGCAGACCACCTTCAGACGCTGCCTATGGCCACCGCTCCCCCAACTCCCAGCAGAGGCCTGGGCCTGGGGGCCTGGCAGGCCCCGTGCTCTTACCTTGGGTCCCATTCTGGGCAGAAGGACTCGCTCGTGCCCTCCGAGGGGGCTGCCTGCTGAAGCCGAGCTCAGCAGTCCCCGACAGTGGGTCTTCTCTGCTCAGGCAGTGTGCAGGGGTGGGTGGAGTGTAGACCAGATTTGAGTAAGGGCAGCACCTCCAGCCCCATGGGGCTGTCACAGGTCAGGCCCTGCAGAGCTGTGGGGTTTGACTGGTGTGGGTGGCAACCCCTCCTGAGTGCCTGCTACAGGCAGGCTCTGTGCCAGGGCTTTCCCTACAGCCATCCTGGCCATGGGTCACAGATGCACACACCACAGCACCCGGCTGGGCACTGGGGTGATGCTGGGCTTGGCTCTGAGCTCCGTGCCTCTGTGCCCCGTGTGCCCCTCAGAGTGCTGGTGACAATGCGGGGCTGCCTACAGGACACCCAGGGCTCCTTGATCTTTTAGGAACTGCGGCACCCCTGAAGCCGTGAGAGGTGCAGAGGCGCTGCCGTCCTGAGCCAGGCCTCGGCTTCCGCTCTCTGCACCTCTGGCTGCAGCGCCCGCACCCAGTCCCAAGAGCACAGCGGCTGCGACTTGTCTCTGGCCAGGGGAGGAGGTGGCGTCATACCCAGGACAGGAGCCCACACTTGATGTCCTCCGGGGGTCTTTTTACATTATCTTAAGGACTGACAGACTCCCACCCCATCTGCTCCCACCTGTCCCTACTTTCATGCGCCTCCGCCTGAGTTCCTGCACGCATTTCCTGAATAAACACCCCCCTGTGCCAGTCAGAACCCGCAGGGATTTTGGAAGTGAGAGCCCAGCAAGGCAGCTGGCCAGGGGGCGGCACTGCCCTCTGGGGAGCACCGGTGCCCAGGACTCTGCTTCTGAGGCTGGCCTGTACAATGATTTTGTATAAATATCTCCAATTAGAACCTTTTACTGTATTTCTTAGTATAACAGAAACTGGTGTCTTAAAATACAAGACTAGCTGCCCAGTGATAGACACCAAATCGATCCTGGTTTGCAGTGGCCAGGATCCCTGACCGTGGAATGGTGAGGTTAGAACTGAAACCGCAGTTCATGAAATCACACCATCACGCGGGAGAAAAAAGGTTTGGGGTGAGGGGCAGTACCGTCCTAAGAAGCTCACCAGCTCCATGCATCACCTTCACTCACTCACCAGATGCAGACTGCAAAGACGCGAAACCTGTGATTTCTTTAATCATCACAGTCTCCATCTGGTGAGTGGTTGAAGTCACATTCTGTTTTCATTTTCCTTTTGGTTGCTGGGAAATGCTTTGGATAGTAATAGTTTTCAATTCTGCAACTCCCATTGTCTTAGGCTCTGTGGCTCTCCATTTTCTTCTTATCCTTGGGACGTGTCTTAGACATTGCTAACAGGCTGTGTTCCTGGACCTGCAACTCAGCTGGAGATTGGGTCCCTTGCGGATTTGCAGGGACTGTCCATCGCTGGTGTATAGATGCAAAACACTGGCACCACCCAGTCAGAACTGGCAGGGGCTGCCTGCACTGCACCAACCTCGAAGATAGCCAGGCCCAGACCATACAACTGCCCACCAGGCTCCACCCCACAACCTCAGCCCAGCCAAGGCCGAGAGGTGGCTGCACTTCCGCCGATCAGAGGTCCAGATAGAGCTGCGTCTGCTTGGAGTGGTCGAGTGCATGACATCGAGTTTCATAATCAGTGGTACTTACTTTCCATTTATTAATATTATACCTTTGAAGATGACTGTGTGACCTTAGACAATTCACTTGCTTGCCTTGGAGTTGTTAGAAGGAGTTATCGCTTTGGGGTCCGGGCACGGTGGCTCACACCTGTAATCCCAGCACTTTGGGAGGCCAAGGTGGCGGAGTCACGAGGTCAGGAGTTTGAGACCAGTCTGGCATCATAGTGAAACCCCATTTCTACCTAAAAATTACAAAAAATTTAGCCAGGCGTGGGTGGTGAACGCTTGTAATCCCAGCTACTTGGGAGGCTGAGGCAGGAGAATCACTTAACCCGGGAGGCAGAGGTTGCTAGCCAAGGTCACCCACTTTACTCCAGCCTGGGCAACAAGAGTGAGACTCCCATCTCAAAACAAGGTTGGGACATCTTTTTAAGTGTGTCTGTTCCAGCAGGATGGGAAACATTAATTTATGATTTCCAGAGAACTTAGGGAAATTTGTTGTCCAAACCTAAATATGTGAACACAGTGTAACCCTGGCTCTTACTGAAGGTTTTTTCTTAAAGAAGCTGTGAACTGGTCACACGTACACCGTTCACAAGTCCCCAG